AGGTAATCTTATTCTAGTTTTATTTATCACTGGAAAATAACGCTTTACCATATTTTTAATCGTAATAAAAATGTCAATTATCAATATTATTTCGAATAATAGCTGTGAATTAAATTTAACAGTTAGCGGAATTTATAATGTTACTCTCGTTTCTGTGAGTGGTAAATTTAATCCCATTCTTTTAGACCTTCAGATTATATATCATTTATTAAAGATGACCATGAGCCGCATAGCGGCGGGGTCGGAGACCTTGAAAAAACGTATGATATGTATATAAATAATGTGATAGCGAAATGGGATATTAACATGATTTTAAGTTATTTAAATGAATCATTTATCGTATGGTATGAAGAAAAATTTTAAATCAAAACCCGATAAACTTTTTGAACTTGATGAAATAAATAACCTTATTAAATTCCCGCTGAAAATTAAATTTTGTACTCCTCATCTTCGTTCATTGTTGGGGATATTAAATTTTGAAAAAGATGTTGGGGATGTTTTGTATTCTGACACTGGTTCCAATTCATTTTAATCAAATGTGATAAAGTTAATACCCCAATGAGATTTTCACATCAAACATTAGACCCTAACTCTTACCCATCAATACAAAACATTTTATCCATCAACTTAAACACATTTTCTTTATCATATCCGTTTCAATTATCCGGGAATTCATTTATTCTTCATTCAAAAGATTTATCAAATATTAAATTTAGAAACTGACTATTTGATTGTGATTTAGAATTTATGAATGAAATATTATGGCAATTTCAAATAGAAAAAATAGCTGATGAGATAACAGATTAAATATTTATTTTTAAATTATAATAAATGATTAAACAACAGCAACTTAAGGTGCAAAACACCCAGGTCCTTCAGACCATTACATACGCCATATATGCATATAATTCAAAGACGGCAGAACAAACGCAAAGGTTGAAATATGGAGATTTGGAGATAGTATTGAAAAATGACCATTTCGAATTCGTTTGCAAAGGTGGTGCAGTGATATCAAATATAAAAGAAATTTTATTTATGAATTCAAAAATTAAAGGAATAACGGATGATATAACATCAATTCCACCAGAAGAACAGAGATATTACGCATTAAATGCATTTCCTAAAGTTTTGAAGTTTGGAAGATTTAATTTAAATGAGGAATTCATAGAAGGTTTCCTAAATGACATAATGAAGAAGGTGGATAAGGAATATGTGGATAGTGAGTTAAATAAGAAGGCAAATTTGGTTTATGTTGATGAAAAAGATAATGAAATTAAAGAAAAGGTTGAATGGTATCATGAATGGACATCGGAGACTTTTAAAGTTAAAGCTGATACAGGATGGGTTTCAGGATGTTTAGACTTTAAAGCAGATAAAACTTATGTTGATGAAAATTATGCAAAGAGGTCGGAAGTAAATGATGTGATTACAAGCATGAAAAATGAAATTCTTCAAACATTATATCCTGTTGGTTCTATTTATACGTCAATGAACTCAACAAATCCATCAACAGTTTTAGGTTTTGGTACGTGGAAGCAGATTGTAGATAAATTCTTATACTGTGCTAGATATTCAAAGCAAACAGGAGGTTCGAAGAAAATTAAAGAAGCAAACCTTCCACCGCACACTCATACAGGAACTACAAACACAACAGGTAATCATTCACATTCAATAACAAAAAGAGGTTATACAAATCTTGCAGCGGGTTCGAATAGAGGGAATGAATAGATCTGATATTTCAACTGACCCAGTAGATTCAAGCACAGGTATTTTCTGTGGAACCGCAGGAAATCATTCACACACTTTCACAACAAATCCAACAGGCTCGGGTAAAGATTACATGCCACCATTTGTGACTGTATTCGCATGGTACCGCGTTCATTGAATGTGCTTGAGCCCAGACCTTTGGGTCAAGGCTTACCGAATGAACTAAATATATTTTATGTCTGTAATTAATTAGGTAATGAAGTAATGGATGAACTGCAGAAATAATGTTTACGTTAATGTTTACGTTAATGTTTACGTTAACGGTTTTTAGGTTATTCAATAATTAATTATTTTTGAATAACTGAACGTGTCACTACGTCACCATGTCACCAGGTTAATTAACTTCTTTAAAAAATGATGACAACATGACATTTTGACAACAGTCCAGGAAATTTGATGCAGTCCAAAAATAAAGTTAGTTTTAAAATTATTTTTATTTTTTTTTATTTTTGTATGTAAGAACAGAAATGTCAGTCGAAGCAAAAACATTCACTAACAAATCTAATGGCGAAACATTCACAAAAGGCACTTATAATGGTATTGAAGTCTTACGTAGAGACAAGGATGGTTACATTAATGCAACAAATATGTGTCAGCAGTTTAGGAAAGACTTTAGAAAGTTGTTGGAAAATAAGTCCTGGGAAGAGTATTATAAGGCATTTTGTGAAGAATATAGCAACCGCCGGAATTCGGACTGTTGCTTTTTATACAAAATTCATGCAGGAATTCCTGATGAAATCAAACAGGTTAGAGGAACGTATGTAGACCCAAGACTTATAAACTATATAGCAATGTGGGCTTCTCCAAAATATTGCATAGCAGTTGGAAAAATTATGGACTCCATAGACAAGAAAGTTCATGAGAAATTAGATGAAGAAGAACTCGAAGATACAGTAGAGAATGCTAAACATTTGTTTGAAGAAGAGTTAGAAAAATGTGCGAAAAACAATTAGAACATGAACGTGAGATATATTATGGTTATAGAGATTCTCCATACGAACTAGACCAATGGGAACAAGAAGATTTAAAGAGAGAATTTAGAGAATATGAACTCGCTAAGATAGCATTAGAAACTGCAGAAAAGAAGTTAAAAGTTTGGGGTTGTTTTGTAAAAAAATATTGTGAGTAAATGAATCATTTATTTTTGTCATAAACGACCAAAAATATATTTTATCGTTTATGGTTTTTAGGTTATTCAATAATTAATTATTTTTGAATAACTGAGGGTGTCACTACGTCACCATGTCACCAGGTTAATTAACTTCTCTGAAAAAATGAGACAACATGACATTTTGACAACAGTCCTGGAAATAAATTTTTATCGTTAATGTTTACGTTTATGGTTTTTAGGTTATTCAATAATTAATTATTTTTGAATAACTGAGGGTGTCACTACGTCACCTGTCACCAGGTTAATTAACTTCTCTGAAAAAATGAGACAACATGACATTTTGACAACAGTCCTGGAAATAAATTTTATCGTTAATGTTTACGTTTATGGTTTTTAGGTTATTCAATAATTAATTATTTTTGAATAACTGAGGGTGTCACTACGTCACCTGTCACCAGGTTAATTAACTTCTCTGAAAAAATGAGACAACATGACATTTTGACAACAGTCCTGGAAATAAATTTTATCGTTAATGTTTACGTTTGGTTTTTAGGTTATTCAATAATTAATTATTTTTGAATAACTGAGGGTGTCACTACGTCACCTGTCACCAGGTTAATTAACTTCTCTGAAAAAATGAGACAACATGACATTTTGACAACAGTCCAGGAAATTTGATGCAGTCCAAAAATAAAGTTAGTTTTAAAATTATTTTTATTTTTTTATTCCTATATAAATGACAGCAACAAACAACAACAGTAACTTTATCATTTCTGATGAACAAGTTATTGATTCATTAGCTGAGGAATTAGTTACGGCAGAAACTAAAACCCTCAACGAAAGAATTGGTGAAAACAAGATTGATTTACATAACTACCTCAAACACGATGGAGGAAGAGGAAGGAAAACTGGTATGGCTTTATTAGTAAATAAAATTTCGAATTTAACGATTATAGATGTTGATATCAATAAATCGTACAATGATGAACTTAAAGAAACGGTTAGAAAAGATATTTTATCAAAACTTTCGGATAAAGATGTTATCGTTAAAACCGCTTCAGGAGGTCTTCACATTTATTGTAACACTAATTTCTTCTATTCAGTTTCGAACAGAATGATTAAGTGTTATTCCTGCAATGATTATGATATTGATATCATGACTTCTATGGATGATTCAAAACGTTCATTAGTAGTTATGGCTGATTCAAGAGTTCGCAAGAATGCAACAGAACCAATCAATACATACTCATTCATTCGTGGAAGTTACGATTCAACATTAACTAGAACAGTGAATGATATATTAAATGATTTGAATATTAAGGTAAGAGTTGAACAGAAGAATGAAGAAATAAAGACTATCATGAATGAAAACAAAGATGTAAACATTGACGATAAACTTGCCCAGAGCATAGTTGATGGCATTAGTGATTTTGAAGTACATAATGACGGTGGAAACATGAATTTAGAAAAAGAAGTTACATTATTCACACTGTTTCAAGCTATTAATTCGTTACAGGATCATTTGATTAATGAAGCATACGATAACGTTTATAACTTCTGCAGCTTAACTGAAAATGCAAAAAGTAATTTTGAAAAAGCACGTAGTAGATATGCACATTTAATGACTTCTCCATTTGTTTTAGTGAAGATTCTAAAACTATATCAAAAGGAATATTATGATGAATATGTTTTACCTTTATTACGTAAGCCAAAAATAACATTTGATATCAAACCTGATGACTCGTTTTTGATAACAGATATTAGACGCAAGGCTGAAAATCATCAGTATAAAAACAGTTCTGAAGTAATTGAGGATTTATCACGTGTAATCCGTTTTGTAGATTGTGGAAATAAATATTTCATTCAAAAGTACTATAATATCCACGACAAAATGAATCAAATATCATTCGTTCTTCAATCAAACATGAAAGAGTCACTCAAAATGATTAAATTATTTAAAGAAGAAGGTAAAACAATAACAGCATGGGATGTACTATTAAATCAATTATCCTCATTAACCGTTAAGGGTGTTTGCTTTAAATCTGATTCTCCAGATGTTTTCTCAACGTTTCAGGGTTATAAATACAACATTCTTGAAAAGCCTGATTACTCAAAAATTGAGATGTTTATGAATTTCATTAAAGAAGCCATTTGTGATAATAACGATGAAGTGTATAAATACCTTCTCGGCTGGATTGCATCAATGATTCAACATCCTGGAATCAAGAATGAAACAGCAATTATTTTGAAAGGACTTCAGGGAACAGGTAAAAACAGATTTACAGACATTATTTCTGAACTTCTCGCTGGTTATTCATGTAAAAACATTACCGAAATAAGTGAGCTAACGGGTAATTTCAATTCAGTAGTTGAGAATAAAATGTTTCTTGTACTTAATGAACTCAAGAATGTAGGTGAAGATAGACTCGCAAACTTCAACGCTTTGAAATCAATTATTACGGATAATGAGATTAGAATTAATGAAAAGAATCAACCCAGAAGAACTGCTCAGAATGTTGCAAACTTCATTTTCGTAACTAATAACGTTTACCCTGTCAAAATTGAAGTTGGAGACAGAAGAGACGTAGTTTTAAGGGTTAATGGTAAATTCAAGGGTCAATTTGATTACTTCAAGAATTTAATGAATTCATGCACAAAGGAATTTTATGATAACCTTTTAACATATTTTATCAATTACGACCTTTCATCATTTAATGTACGAATCATACCGATGACTGAAGCCAAACAAGATTTAATAGAATTATCAACAAATCCTTTAGATGAATGGATAAATACACATTATGATGAATTGTGTGCAGGTATGACGTGTAAAAATGCTCTATTCTGCAAACCATCAGACATGAAAGACAAAAACTTTCAAATGAGCATTAAGGATAAATGTGATAAGAAACAGAGAAGAATAGATGGTAAACAAACATGGTGTTATGTTTTGAAAGAAGAAATGAAAGGATTATATAAACAGGTTGAACCAAACGATAATGAGGATTCATTTACTGACGATGAAATACCTGTAAATGAAGCTTTATAAAGTATGATTGGAATTTATTTTTGCATTAATCCTGCTGTGTTGTCAAAATGTCATGTTGTCTCATTTTTTCAGAGAAGTTAATTAACCGAGTGACACATGGTGACGTAGTGACACCCTCAGTTCTTCAAAAATAATTCATAAGTGCCTTCCTCATTAATCCTGCTGTGTTGTCAAAATGTCATGTTGTCTCATTTTTTCAGAGAAGTTAATTAACCGAGTGACACATGGTGACGTAGTGACACCCTCAGTTCTTCAAAAATAATTCATTATTGAATAACCGGAAACCATTAACGATAAAATAACTGATAACAAAATTTTATTTTTATATAAATGGATACCCCACAAGCTCAAAATTTACCACGAAAACCGAGAAGAACCTAGAAGGGTTCGGGAAGAGGAATAAAAATTAAATTTGGATTGGGTTTAAAAATTCATCTTTATTAAATTCATCTCTTCCAATCAATTTATTTATTCTATTAAATTCTTTTATTTTTGCTTCACTCAGTTTAAGGATTGAACGGTAAGTTTCTAATTTTTCGATTATTTCTTTCCTCTCTTTATCGTTTTCAGCCCCACCGCATTGTGGCTTCTTTTTGTAATAGCATATTTTTGATTTAATTCTGTTTAGTTTCTTTTTATATTCATCGTCTGGACTCTTGGATGCTTTGTTGTCACTCATTTCTTACGAATTAAAAAAATTAAATATTATTTAAATATAATGGAGTAATAAAAAAATCGGAATTTATTAATTTATTGTTAACCTCAACTAATGCATTGCCGTTAATATATCTAACAAATTCAGCTATTGTGTCAAATCTTCGTCTTCTTTTTGTCATTGATTTATCAGTTTTTCCATAATCGAGATGAATCAAAACTTTATCCCCTTGTTTAAAATTCATGAGCCCGAATTAATTTGTTCACGTTTAACATCATTCAACCTTTCCATTTGCTTTCTAATATATTCCCATTCTTTTGAAATATCATTTTTCATTTCCACCGGTTTCATGTTTATAGTTCTATGCCATGTATTATTGTAATAATATACTAACTGTTGTATGATGGGCTCATGATTTCCATCCCAGTATATCCGACCGTTAACCCCTAACGCATCTCTAAGAGTTCTCATTACCGCATCAACTATTTTATTATGAAACGTATATGGAGAGGATGAAAAGAAAAATTAATTTGTGGGAAATAATGAGCCATAGCTGCCTGAAATCCTTTATCACCATCACCCCTGATATTATCTACTCTTTCATGATCTAGTAAGTATTGTATAGCTCTTCTTGTTTCCTGTTCTGTTTTCCCTTTCACTGGAATGCAATATAAATATCTAGTGTTAATGTTAATGGCAAATAAATAAGTAACGTTTCCTTTTGAATATTCCAGATGATCGATTTCGTATGAATATGGATATGGAGCAAATGAAGGGCGACTAAATTTTTCCTTTAACGGTTGAATTTTCGGGTCAATTGGTTTATTTAATATCTTGAAATCCTTTTTAAAATCTTTTTGCTTCTTTAATGTTTGAAATGGATATAATAAAGTGAATGATGAAGGATTAACTGAAGGAGGAGGAGGTACTGTCGTTGGAGGTTTTGGTGTTGCAAGTGGTTTAATTTTATCTGCTTTGATTTTGGATTTCATTCCCCCTTCATTAATTCTGGATGTATTCTATTCATTTGTTTTAAATATGCTGTATATAAAGGTTTGATATACTTTCCTGCTTCGAGTTTATGTTGAAGGATGAATTCCAAAAGTTGATCTTCATTTAAAAGTCGGGCTGAATATGGTTTAACTAATGAATCATAAATTAAAGCTTGTGCTTCATTTATGGTCTGAAGGACCTGGGCGTTTTGCACCTTAAGTTGCTGTTGAACATTTGCTACTTTCTCTTTTGGTGTTGTTTTCGGCTTTTGCGGCTCAGGATTATATAATTTATATAATTCATCAATATCTTCTTCTGTTAATACTTTATTTTTGAAATCTTTCAATTGTTTAAGTTGTGATTTAGTTTTTTCCTTTCTATATTCATTATTTTTAATTTTGTCTTTAATTTTAGAAATTATTTTATCATGATATTTCAAAATTTCATTTTTATAATATGGATAATAATAATCCATATCATCACCCGTTATATTTTTATTATGTTTTTGGAGATATGATTTTAATTCATAATAATTAAGAAAATTTTGATTAAATACTAAATCATCAATTAAATTTTCTAAATCTGCGTTATCCATTTATATAAAAATAAAATAAATGTTTTAAGGGTGCCCACCTCTTTGAATCATAGTATCAAAACCATTATTTACATATTGAATCGCATCATTAACGGTTCCTTTTGTCTCTTCTGTGGCATTTTATTAAAAATAAAATTTTAAATTGTATTAAATAAATGGCATACAACATCCATTTTCACAACATACAGCCTTAGTGTGTGCTCCTGTTAATGCAGTCTTACCGATTGTTAAGCGAGTCATTGACCCGTTTTTAAGTTGTAAATTAATATTCTGACCATCAAATATCACTTTATCATTTATTATATCCAAATAATTTTTAGGTGTTAATTGTTTATTTTGTCGTAAACCAACACCTTTCATTTTTTGTGCAATCGTTTTAAAATCACTTCCATCAATTGAACAGTTGAATGATGTATAACACTTAGGACATAAAGCAACCATGTTATCACCTTGTTTCTCAATTGCTAAACCCAATAATTTTTTCTCATGTGCTTTTTCTTCAGCTTTATTCTTTAATTTAGGTTTAAATTTCTCATCAAAACAGAAGAAATCAAAAGGTGCGAATTTGAAAATGTTTTATCATAAAATTGTTTATCGGTAACAATCGCCTGAAATGCTTGAGTGTTAGGAAGATTTGGGTCGCCAGCGATTGCCCAATAAGATGAATCAGTATCACCTTCAATGAAAGAAAACGATTAACATTCAAGCATTTATACATAAAATCATAAATGAAAACTAAATACCAGTATTTAGCATTATCTAAAGTGAAGAATGCTCTTGTAAACATGTATCACATCTATAAAATCTATCTTTAAGCATCACTTGATATGTATCTTCACCTATTTCTCTTGTTTTTAAACTTATTTGACATACATGCAACGCGTGCCTTCTGTGCATTCATTATTTTAGTCTTTGCGTAATTTTGTGTATTCATTGCATCGTAACCATATGATCCATTAAGTGAAATCTTGCAAAATAAACTTTTCCTTTATTTCCTTCTAATTCAGCTTTTGTCTTTCGTTCATAAATTTGTTCGCAAATTCATTAAAACAAGTGTTTTTAGTAAATGTTAAAATTGATTGAATGTCATCGATGATAAAATGAAATCTGTCTATTAGATACCAAAGATAATAAGAAGAAAATGGTTGATATTGGTTGTGTGTTGATGCTAACTGAGTTAATTTCCTCTGTTTCTGGTCAACTGGTAAATTGTTTGATTTCATGTAATTATACATAAAACTGCCAATTGTTTTTTCATCTGTGATAATATCTAAGTTTCTTATTATCGGTAAAAAGTTTATGTAATCATTAATGTATTTTTCATCAATGTGACCCTTTACTTCAGCCACGAATAAAGTATTTTTCTTCTTAATTATTCCCAGTGCTTTTGCTTTCTTTGTTGCTGTATCACAAATGATAACACCATTCAATCTTCCCGGCATATACATTTTATGGTCAGTATATTGAATGAAATCATGAGGATTAGATGAAAATGATGAAGGATATAATGAATTAAAGTCAACTCCAACGAAATGAGTCATAATGTTGGTGGTGTCCTCATTTGATACAGTTTTAGTTTCTGGATTAATGAAAGTTTATTAATGTGCGTGATTCCTTTAAGATTTACTCTATGTTGAACATTTGATAAACTACCAGTAATTCCATTACGGAGAATGTGATAAGCTTCAACTGAATCTAAAGTCATTGGTAAATTATTTTTTAATGCATAATTTCTTAAATTGATTCTTAAACGTTGAACATCTTCATCTTTATTTGATTTTACGACATTGCAATAACAACACATTAACTGACAATTTTCTTTGGTATGTGGTTTTTCATTATCGATTCTATCCAATGTTGGTTTATTTGCATATGTAAACGCTTTACCACACATTTTGCATTTAGATGAAAGGATTAAATCGTGATAGTATTGAAAATCATCCATTGAAACATTATTTTTAGTATCTCTTTCTGCTTTTTCATCTTGTTTCTTATATGATTCAATTTTATATTTCCAATACTTTTTCGTTAATTCAAAACTTGATTCTATCTCTTCCTCAGGATATTTTTCATTAGGATTAAAGTCTTTATATGCTAAAGCGTAACGAATCATTGAAGCATTCGATGATAAAGAAAGATTATGAAGCATGTCAATTTTATAAACAAATGTTTCTTCAATAATTTTATCGATTGGGTCAATCATAATTTCAACATCTTTATTGCAATAATGAATAAAATATTCTAATCTATTCTTAAAATTTTTAGCATCATTGAGATATATTTGATAATCACTATCTGATATAGTTTCTTGGGTTAATGCTGAATAAAATGAATCTTTCGTGAATGGTTCCACTTTATATAATTCCTTCTTCGTAATTTTCCCATGTGATGAATTGATAAGGGAAAAAGGATTTAACACGTGATTTATTGTTTCCGAAATCTTGAGTGAATTGGTCTAATGTCCCACCCGCTATATAATTTCTGATGTCAATAAATCTCAATTCATATGGAACGTTTGTTTTCTTTACAATGATTGCTTAAATTGTGAAGATGAACCCAGCATTGATTTTATTTTCCATTTTGCAGTGTTTAAATCACGAAGAATTAAATTTAAATCAAACTTTCCCGAATTAAAACCTATGATATTCACTTTATTGAATTCCTCATCTAGAAGTTCTTTAAATGCTTCCTTCTGTTTTTCATTTAATGTATGAGACAAAGTCCCCGCCGTTTGCGACTTCAATAATTCATTGTATTGACTCATATTTGATTCAACAACTAATGAACAGGTTGAAAATAAAAACTCAATCCAATCAGAAATAAAAGAATCACTCGAAGTTAAGCAAAAATTCCTCGTATATGTTTTATCGTTTAATTTAACCGTTGATGATACCATGAATGGTTTTAAGTAAGCGTTCAAAGTTGCACACTCAGAAAGTTGTAATTCTTCTTTAGTCTCTAATGTTTCGAAGTCAAAAGTAATATAATATCTTGTCGGTTTATAATATTCTGCAAATTGTGAGCTAATAACCACTGATATATCTTCTGTTTCGTAATATGTGGTGCATATGGTTGCTGTGTCTTTTGCAACTGAACGTCTTGAATTAATCTTCCATTATTTTCTTTACATTTCTCACAATGCTTTAAAAATCTTCTTTGGTTTTTCCTTTCTGGATCATCACGGATAGAATAAACTTCTTCTTTACAATATGGACAAACTTTATAGCCGGTGAGTGCTTCAACGTCTGTTATTCTGTCAGCGTGAAGTTTTCCACATGGACTCTGTGTTAATAAAATATTTACTGTTTCAAATTCTGGATCTATCATTATTGATTCCACTAATGGAAAGTCTACCTTATTTATGTCCACGTCTTCTGGTTGAGGATCACAATAATAGAAATCAATATTAACATTTAACATTCTCGCTAATCTCTCACTTTCTGATGAAATGTCAAACCCTTCATATGCATCTATTGCTTCATTTAAATAGCTTCTACGAGTTTTAGGATTAACACCATCAGGAATGTTATAGAAGCGTTTAAATAACCTTCTACCTTCTGCTCTAATTTGATTATCATTCATTTTAGCTGTTCCGTTTTTGTTCATTTATGTAAGAATAAAAAATTAAAAAATAAATAAAAATAAAATTTTTTAAAGCCCATAAAATGAATTAAGAACACATAAATTTTTATCATCATCTGCGACGTGACGAATACATTTTAATTTACTCAAGAATGCGTACCCTGATACATTAAATCTAATTCCTGTCTTATTTAATTTCACAACTTTGAAAAGGAATGTATGAATAGCTATAAAATGATGAGAAGATGTTTTATGGGTTGCTTCCATTTTTTCTGAAATAAATGAATAAATATAATGCTTATACGTTTTCATATCTTTTATATTCTTAATAACGAATGGTATAGACCTTTCCACTTCGTCTTCCTTCGGTGCTGTTCTTTCATATGAAACATTATTATATCTTCAATAATGAAACCACAATCACACAAAATTTTATAGGTTCCAATGGTTTCTTTTGATATTTTATCTAATAAATCAAAAACTTTATCAACACCTGTGCATTTATTTAAATAATAATTTGTGTAAATATCATGATCTTCTTTCTTAATCGTATTAGTTGCATATGTCACGTTTTTAAGAGCTTTTTTGAATTTTTCGGAATCTAAAGGTGGTGAAAGTAGGATACAGGGGTATTCTTCATTATCAATAAATTGTAACTTATGTTTACGAATAAATTTAGTACCTTCTTCTGAAAGTGTTTCGTCTATTTCACCATCTAATAAATTTTGTGTTGATTCTGAACATAATTTTTATATCTTTCTTCATGAGATTTCTGAACTTCTGATTCTGAAGCTGGGATATTCATTAAACCCTCTACTTCATTTTCATTATATTTTTCAACTTCTCTTAATTCCTTAATTTTTTCATCTATTTCATCTCTTATTTTTTTCAGTCTTTCAATTTCATTGTATTCATCATCTTTAATCCGTTCTTCATAATATTCAGGGAAAACATCAGGTTCTTTAGGTTTTTCTTCTTCAGATGTGGGATATAAGAAATTTATAACATCATCTTTATTCATTTTTCCATCATAATCTAAATCATTTAATAACACCGCAAATTTTTTACAATTTCTTAAATAATATTTATCAACTTCATAACCCACCTCCTCTAATATATCCTTTATTTCCTCGTTTGTGAATCCTAATTTTTTAACGTTGTTAGTTTTGACGCTCATTTCATACAAAATAAAAAAATAAAATAATAAACATAACTAAGTTTTAATTTTTCGTAAGAAGTTTATTTTATTTTTATATATAAATCATTCTTAAGGTCAAACAGACTTCTTATTTTTATATGAACATCATCCTCTAAAATTCGATAATCTATTTTATCTGGTTTTACTTGTTGGGTCATTTATGTAAGAATAAAAAAATAAATTATTTTAAAAATAACTTTAATTTTAAAATGATTTATTTTTTAAAAAATTTTTATTTTTTATTTCATTATGTATGGGCTGAGTGTAAATGTCTTACAATTTTGAAAATTTTTTAAATCTTGATTTATTCAAAAACGTAAGAATAAAAACCGTAAGAATCATATATTTTTTAATTAATATGTTAAAAAAAATGATACAAAATCGCTCGATATTGTATGAATTCTTACGTTTACAAAAAAGGTCACAAAACCCATCATATCCTACTACTAACATTTCAAAACGAAGGATAATGCTTTGAATATATAAACAATAATACTTTGTCTAGAGAATTAAATTTGTGCTATCCAATTGTCAATTCTTTGAATTTTTTATAAAATGCACGATATTCCGGCATTAGCCTCAATAAATATAAACTACATGCATCACAATATTAGGATGTAATGACATTAAAGCGAATTTCCTAATTTCTTCTCAATTAAATTCCTAGAAAAACTTAGGAATTAATGATTGGAAATAGGTCAAAAAAAATCCTAATATAAAATTTATACTTAAATTAAAATCAAAATTCGAAAATATCTATTTTTCAAAACACGCATCCAGAAGCGAAAAAATTCGAAAAAATCATGTTCTTATAAAACTCGCTGATTTTGCAATTTTTATGTGATTTGAAGTGATAGAATGTATTATCATCTTACTAAAACATATACTTTATTGTTACATTCACAAAATATTAATCAGAACACTAGGAAAAGTGGATTTTCGAAAAAGACGATAACGATTATTTGCAAATCGCCTCTCAATTTTGAGAGACTTTCAATTTTTACAGTGGACCCTTAATATGGTGGTTATTTTGTTTAGTGTGCTTGGTTGTGTGATGGCGCATATCAATCCATGTTATTGAACATTACGATTTAAATCTTTTAGATTAAAATTATTAAAGTAAAATAATAGTGAATGAATGCTACATATGTATAATTTACATCTGACATTCAAATGTTTGGAATGATCAATCTCATATTTTCTTTTAAACCATTTTATCAAATAGAAGCTCAAAATGATATGAATAGATCATACATGTCTCTTAACTCACCAAAAATCGATTTGGAAAACCTGAAACTCCAAACGATTACATATTCATTGTCGATAAACCCTTCCGTAAAAAAATTAGCTAAATTCAATAACAAATTTGATCAATATTTAGAGAAAGATTCAATAATTTCTTCCGAATTTTTAAAATACTATAAAAGAAAAGAATTTACTAATTCAAATAGCATACATCTTGCAAATTCTATATTTTGTTATTGTTCATCTCCACTTTCAGGCGGAGCAGTATATATTCATGGAATTAGAACATATGTTTCCCTTCAAAGAATGATATTTCTTAGGTGTATCTCAAAATTTTATCAGTCTATCAATGAAAGAGAATTTGCTAGTGGAGGTGCGGTCTTTTGTTATTCGAAAACTACTCATATTTCTTACACATGTTTTGATAGTTGTAATTCCAAATTTATTGGACTCGCTTTTTACTCTCAGATCCAAAACGAACAAGATCATGTTGTAAATTACTCCTCTGTATCCCTTTCATTCTCGACTGTTGGAAAATTTGCATTTTGCATGGAAGGAGGAATTTCTCATGTGGATAATCTCAATTCTACCAAAAACAAAGCTGAATCGACATCAGGAGGTGGTTTTGGCTCATATCCTATCCCTCAGAATGGTTTTATTAAATATTCTCAATTCGAAAGAAATTCAGGGAAAAATATTTTCATGTTGCAGTTAGAAAACGACAAAAACCACCAAATAAATTCATGCAACTTTATCAATAATACATTATTACACTCAAGTTTAGCGATTTTGTGTTGTTCGTCAGGTCTTATTCTAAAAAAGTTTTATTTTGTAGCTAATGAAGGAAATTTGATATATACCTTATCATATATATCATTAGTGTCATGTGTTACTGACCAAGAAAGTTTTGGGCTATCTCCGAATTGCAAATTACAGAATTGTAAGGTCAAAAAGCTTGATACAGAGCCACTAAAACTCAAATTCATGCAAGTATGTTGATTTTTTATTAGATATTAATAGCTTTATTGATATTAATTAGATATTTTTTTCTGTTTTTGTTAATTGTTTTGTAAATATATTTTAAACATAAATTATACAATCTAATGTAATGTAAGCGTGATGTAAAAATGGGTATTGATTTTGACTGAAATAAATCTGCAAAGAAAATTTATTGTCGTAAAAAAGATAATAAAATGAAGTTACTTACTTTTTCTTCTTATCCTTTTTCTTGTCGTCTTTCTTCTTGTCATCCTTTTTGTCCTTCTTTTCCTTCTTCTCTTCTTTTACATCTTTGTCCTTTTTGTCCTTCTTATCATCCTTCTTCTTGTCATCCTTCTTCTTATCGTCTTTCTTGTCCTTCTTCTTATCATCTTTCTTCTTGTCGTCCTTCTTATCCTTCTCCTCCTTCTGAGGAAGGACGTCCTTAACTTTTTCAACAAGGGCGCCCTTACTTACCTCTTTTTTTTTGGCGAGCTTGAGATCTGGGAGCTTCTGATCCTTCTGAGCCATGTAAGCGTTGAAGCGTTCGAAAGCGATCTTGGCTTCCTCGTTGATCATGAACTGGAGGGCAGAGTATGGGACAATCTTGACCATGTTAAGTCCGATACCGCGGAAGAATCCAGCGACGCCTTCGTTGGCCCATGTCTTAGCGAAGCATTCGCTCATTGACTTGTAGACCTTCTTTCCGTCTGGACCGTTGACCATCATTCTCTTCCTGATGACATCGAATGGGAATGAGATTGTTTGGCCGATGGCGCCTGCGGCAGCACCGACGAAGAGGTTTTGCCATGGTGTAAGGTTGCCGCCCTTAGCGTACATCTGGATGAATCTCTCCTTGAGGCCACCGGAGATGACGTACTGGGAGCCTTCGTAAACGACGGCGCCAGTGATTGTTGGGATGATGCCGGACCAGAGAGCGAAGACACCTTCCTCTGAGACGATTCTCTTAGCGGCCTGGAACATGCCTGTATAGCCCTTTGGATCGATTGTGATTCTTGTGTGGATGAGATCGAATGGGAAAGCAATGAGCTGAGAAATGATGCCGGCAGCACCACCGATCATAGCACGTTGTGGTGTTGTGATTGGGGCCTTTGTGAACTGGGCAACACGGCGGGTAAGTTCATCAACGCAGAAGAACTTGATGGCAGATTGTGGGCCCTGGTTCATGATGGCAACTGTGTTGCCACGCCAGAAAGCGGCAATGCCACCTTCCTTCCAGAGGCGGTCAATTGTCTCCTTAGCTGAGCCGCCCTTGGAGGAAACTTGTAAGCAAAGCTTGACGACATCGAGTGGTGATGTTGCTGTGCGGGCAACAGCGCCAGCGACGAAGCCACATGTAAGGCGTTCCCATGTTGGGAGGGCACCGTTAGGGGATGTAGCAATAAGTACCTTATCGGCTTCGGTAGCCATTAGAAGTGAGGAAATTTATTCAAAAATTGAATCCAAAATAATCGAATTTTATTGAAAAATTCTTTTGCACTGTTTATGCCTAAAAAAAACAATGGATTTTTAATGAAGTCAACAATAGACTCTGAGTGATAGTACTATTGCAATGGAAATATAAATGGACCCTTTTTCAATATCGACCAGTTTGGCTCACAAAAATTTTTGGAAGAGATAGCGATTGGACATACTTATGTTTTTCTGACATAAATAGCTCAACATATGACTTGTAAGCATATTTTATGATAATAATCTCAATGAGACTCACGTTCTGATTTTTTCAAAGGACATCTCCCGATCATCGTTTTTGAAATGTGAAATAATTCACTTATGTATTAAAAATTCGATCTTCAGCAAAGCCAACTAAAAAACCGAATTTCTCACAAATTTAGAAATTATTCGATCAATCAATCCAACTTGACAGTGTTGTGTACTTCTATTGTCAATGTTTGATTTCAGATTTTGAAGGATTTATCTGAAATCGAATATTTGGGAAATGTAAAGATTAGATGCCATAGTAAGGGCTAATGTTCAAGCTTGTCTCCACACAGATACTTATTTCGCATTGTTGATTTCGTTGTTTACAAGTTCGCGCTTAAACTGTCAGAATTACGTTTTATTCAAGCACCTCAGATGCTGTGAAAATAATTATCTAAGTGATGTCATATCAGCTAAAATCCATTGCAATTCAACCGGTATATTTATGTTAATTCTTGAAATTAGAGATAAAAAATTCATAGTAAGGATTAAAACCTTTATATCTAAAAATTTACATAATGTCCAAGAAATGGAACACTTTCTTTAATAGTATTCTCTAGTATATCGAAGTACGAATAACGAATAAGAATTACTAAACGGATCGTTTACACATTTGTTTTGTATTCGGTCGGCTTTGCCAAATTTTAACTTTAAGGAGGATATCTGATAGTTTGTGAAATATGAAAATATATTGGAAATATATTATGTAAGAAGTCATTTCTTGGCCTTAGATGAAGCATGTTGATGTAAATGAGTATGATTTTGTCAATTGATCTGTGCAAATTCTCAAAATCAGATTCACGATAGAATGTTAAATAATAAAAAACAAATGCAAATGCTAGTAAGATTGACAATAATAACTATTGCAGGATAACCAAAGAAATTGCTCTAATTGTAATGAAGAATTAATCGTTGATTTCCTAAATCTGTTTCACCAGCAACAAAAAATTTCTTTGTTGATTGAGTTCAATCATTTGCGACCTTTTATTCGAGAAGATTTTAAAATATTGGAATAAGAAAAATAAAAGAGTTGTTGAAGAGTAAGATTATGATTTGGAAAGTATCTTTGTTTCATACCACTCTGCGAGATTATGAAGAAAGATAAAATCTTGTTGAAATGTTACGCCCATTCGTCGACGATTGATGCAGCATAAAAAATGAACTAAAAAGACAACAATGATTTCAAATCATTTAAGAATTTGCTTTAGTTTACATTAATAATGAAGAATAGCATGTCAGAGTGTTTCAAAAAGTAAAAAAATCGCCAAAAATTTAAGAACAACGTAGTATTTATATCTAATCACTAGAAAATAATTGTTAGATGATTGTAGGCGAGTCAGAGAAGTCAAGCTAAAATTATATAAAATTACGTACTTAGCAACATTTTGATTCTTTCTTTTCGGGGTGGAAGACAATATCTTCGTTACCACCTGATTGAAATTCGTAAGAGCCTTCATCAACCTTCTTTTCAATAAGCCTGACGCATCCATTAACAGCTTCGATAACGCCTTCACCTGTTTTAGCAGAGGTCTCGAAGTATTCCATATTATGTTCTTTAGCGAAGGCTTCTGCCTGTTCACGGGTGACAGATCTTTCTTCTGTCAAATCAGATTTGTTTCCAATCAAAATAGTGACTACATCAGCTCTAGCAACATCTTTGATATCTTGAAGCCATTGTGATACACTATTGAATGAATCTTGGCTAGAAAGTGAAAAAACAACAATGGCGCCAGCAGATCCACGATAATAGCCGCGTGTAACAGAGCGGAAAAGCTCTTGTCCTGCTGTATCCCAAAGCTGCAACTGTATTCTATGAGTTTCAGTGGCAACCACTTTTGTAAGAAATTCAACACCAAGTGTTGGCTGTGTTTCGCCTTCATACTGATCTCTAACAAACCTAAGAAGGAAGCATGTTTTGCCTACACCCGAGTCACCAACAACAACAACTTTTAAGGAATAATCAAACTTATGTCCAAGCATTCCTAAAAAACTATTGAACCGTCCATTGAAAATTTTTTTTGTTTTTTGAATGCCAGAAAATTAAGAGTTTGCCACTCTCGCTGCAATAGTTTTTCTGCGGGAATTTTGAACGGAATTGCAAACGATGAATCAAATTGAGAGAAATATAATAGAAAAGTGTTTTGACATGATTATTATGTTTACTAATGTGTAATAATTTGAATTTGGCGACTTCATCTTTAATCGAATTTTGATCTTGAATTTTTTCTCAAAATAAAATGTTTAAATTATAATGAAATTTTAAAAAACGAAAAAAATTTGGAATCAAAACTTATTTAAAAGAGAAATCATATCTATCAATATATTTAATTTTATATGATTTTAATTTTTATTTACAAAACAATAATGTTATCGATTTATTTATTGATATTCAATTTAAAATTCTCTCATTATATGCTATATTCTCAGCAGTAATCTACAATACAAGAATGTAAATACATCTAACGATGCTATGGTACTAAATCATTTGAAGAAATGCTCAAATTTTCCTTCATCTATCGGCGCGTAGCGCCGCTAGATGATATATATATAGTGATTGTCTGTTGCTGAAACAGAAAATGATTAAGAATCAAAAACCATTTCTAAAAATGTATTTTTTAAGACTTATTTTTGATAGTTTTCACTCAAAAATTTTCATCATATTTGAAATAATATCATATTCTTAATCTAAGCTATTTGATTGACGCTTTGCGCCAATCAAATAGCGAAGAAAATGACTTTTCAAAATATTTATTAATAATTTATTATCAAAAGTCAAAAATCAATTAGAGATTATTATATTACAACAAATTATGAATCGTAATTCGTTAAAATAATTTTGCCGAACAAACAGCTAAAATTGTTCTCAAAATTTTATTAGCGGCGCGAAGCGCCACTTCGAAAACGATAGGCAAAAAGTGTCTGAAAAATTGAGAGAAATGCTGCATTTTCATTTCATATTTTCATCATTTCTTAACCAGACTTTTCAATCAAACTTCTAATGCATCACATTGAACTAATGACTTATTGGAGTGCCAGTATACTTTAAAAGATTCTTAATATGTTCATGTAGTTTCAATTTAATTTTAAAAATTCTAAAATTTTAGATTTTAATCTCTAGCAAGTTCTTTGTCATCATATACTTAATTAGTCTTTAGCTTTACAGCTCCTAAATATCATTATAAATTACAAAATTTCGAATTTAATATTCAAATCAATATCTATGATCGCATCGATATCAAATTACTAAATAAAACTATTAGATTTTCAAATATATTACAATTTTTTGTTATAGCTTAGACCTATTCTTCATTTGTGAACCAAACTTCAGCTCCAATTTTGTCAATTATCACGCCAATCTAATGCCTTACCGAAGTGTATTCATTTCACAACAAATTCTTAATAAATTCTTTGCTTTCAATATTTCATTTGAAAAATCTCTAAAATCTCAAATTGTTCTCTAAATTACTTCGATTTAGCTAAAAGTCTATCTTATATTTTACATAATAATCTTTAAAATATAATATTAATCACTCACAAATAAATTTATTTGTATAAACTCATTTCCTATAATCATAATATGTTTATTTTGCCGAAGTTGGCTAGGCTTGCCCGAAGGGCAAGCCTAGCCAACTGAGTCCCGAAATTATATTATATCATATTTGATTTCTTACCTAAAGAATTGTTGCATGTTTATACATTCACCCTACAGATTATTACACTTTATTTAATTCATTCTGACAAAAAGCTTCATGACATGCTTGTTTTGAACTTTTATATTTTGTTGTTAATATTAAAGATTAATATAGAGTATGTAAAATTAACTTTCTACCAGTTATTTTTTCTTCAGTTTCGGCCATTTAACTTTAATTCAAGTTTCTGACATTACAGATGAAGTGTCATTTAAAAATATCTACAAATGTTAACAGCAAACCTTATGTAGTGTATATATCAAGTATTTTTTCCATGAATGAATACAAATCTGTGGCATTGCAAAAAGGAAATTTAGAGTCATAAAACGTGTGCTTTTGGCAATAAAAATACCTTTGATAATATGAACGTTACAGGATTTTGTGAAGACTTTGGATTGATTGAATCAAAATTGAAGATTTGGTGATGAATGGTGGATTGCGCTTGTGATCCCTACTTTACTATTGACACTACATCATTTCATATCACATATTGATAAATAATATCCGAAATCTGAGTTATCATTTTTATTCCCAAGTATAATATAGAGTTTTTACTCTTAATGAATGTTAAAGATATCTAATTTGATAAAATATAATATTAAAAATTTTTAATGTCGAAGCAAGATATTCCTCCAGACAAATACCTTAAACTGCGAGATCAGTACAAATACTATATTGATTCGTATAACGCATTATATCAGCTGAAAACGGAAAATGAAGAAGACCTAAACAAGATTTACAAAATGATACGAACAGAATTAATCGATTCAAAGAAATTTATACCCCAAAATATTATCAAAGATATTTTAAATATCATTCAGTATAAGAATCGCTATACAAAGTCATATTTATATCTTGCGAAACTCATTTATGATGATTATCATGTCAAAGAGGTCATCAATGTTGATACTATTTCAAAGTTCTTATTTTATAAAGAATATGGAATTAGATTAGACAATTCAGATGATTTCGAAAGAATTAGATCAGAAAATCTTGATATTCATACAGAAGATACTATATACAGAGCAATTATGTATAATGACTTAGAAAGATTCATTACATTCACAGAAAGAGAAGGATTTGATAAAGATCAAAGACTTAAAAGCGAATTATATCCATGTTCTTCCTATTCATTACTTGAATTATGTTGTTATCATGGAGCAGTTGATTGTTTCAAGTTCTTAAGAACAAAATTTAATTCATCAATAACTTTTAAATGTCTAGAATTTTCATTTTTAGGTGGAAATCCAGAGATCATGAGTGAATGTTTGAAATATGAAAAACCAGTATATTATTCACACCAAAAAAGTGCAATTATCTCACACAACATTGATTTTATTACATTCTTGATGAATGAATATAATGTTGAGATCTATTTAGAATACTGCGCAGATCATAATAATCTTGAAGCATTTTTAGTTTACCTTGATCGAACTAATGATATTAATCTATGCTTTGTTTATTCATCGATGTTTAATATTCCATCCCTTTGCAAATATTACCTATCACGTGGTGCTGATATCAATGCAGAAAATAGAGATGAACAAACTGCTCTCCATTGTGCAGCCTTAAAAATAGTAAAGAAACAGCCAAATTTCTTATTTCACGTCATATAAATATTAATAAAAAAGATGATGATGGTCACACCGCTCTTCATAAAGCGGCAATTTATAATAGCAATGAAACAGCTGAAGTTCTTATTTCACATGGTATAAATGTCAATGAAAAAGATAATGATGGAAAAACCGCTCTTCATGCTGCAGCAATAAATAATAGTAAAGAAACAGCTGAACTTCTTATTTCACATGGTATAAATGTCAATGAAATAGATTATGATGGTCACACCGCTCTTCATGCTGCAGCAATAAATAATAGTAAAGAAACAGCTGAACTTCTTATTTCACATGGTATAAATGTCAATGAAAAAGATGATTATGGAAAAACCGCTGCTGATTATGCAGCTGATAACACATAAAAGAAACGTAAGTAGATCTAAAGGTAGGTCCACAAAATCGTAACGATGCTTTCTTGATTTTGGTAATGGATTTAGACTATGTAGGTACTCAATGACTAATAGACGAAGAATGGAAGAAAACTGCAAGAGCGATTTCGAGGAAATATTATTAAAATTAACATTCGATTCTTTGACCTGCAAATAAACATATTTGTACTGTTAATCGGTTTTACAGAATAGATCTTGCGTTGTTGTATGTTTTGAAAAAGTATCTAGAATTTTTCCTAAGATACTCATTTTACGAGATAAAATGATATACCATCTACTAGACATTTGTGTATTGCTTCCCATATGTGGATAATAACTACCGAAATTGTAGTTTCAGGAAATTTGAATATATTTGGAATCCTAAGAAAGACATTATAATATTGAGTGTCTCCTATTTCAATATATCATATTGATGAAAATATAAATTCATGTAATCTGTCCTTAAATATGCTATCTAAATCTGGAATAGAAACTCAATTTCACCATAAAATATGAGAAAATTCCAAACTATGAAATAAAACGAACATATTCACATATGAGATAACAACCATCTATATTAGGTTTCTCAATTCTTCATTTAAAATTCCAAAAAAAAATTCAAAAATTTGAAAATCAAGAGAAGAAATACGAAATTTATATGAAAATTTGCAAAATGAAAAAATTTTGGAATTCTAAACATTATTTATTTTTGATGCTTGTTGAATCATTGGCAAATAACATAATTTCTCAAGAAAGTTACTTCATACTCATGTCAGTTATTAATGATATCTCTTATACAAACTCTAATAAACATTCAGAAAACTTACTCGAAGTTTATTTTTATTAATTTATCCGCAGTTCTCAGAAAATTACAGTTAATTTGTGAATGATACGCATTAAATAAAAAACAAATAAAATTAAACCTACATGTTATAAAACTGAGATATCTTCTTAATTTCAATCAGTATTGGATGACTATGGTTTATCGATTTTTCTTCATTTTTTTTTTCTAAATATGTTTCCAATATTATTAGCTTTTTCAAGCTCATTCGATACAATAACTTTTGTTCAGAAACTTGATCATTTCGATATTATGGATCAGACCACATTCAATCAATATGCCTATATCGATAAAAGTTATATAAAAAATGGAACATATAACTCAATTATACTAACATTAATTGATTCTGAAGTTCTTACACCCAAGGAACCATTTCCTCAACTAGCGATTGAAATAGCTAACCAATCTAATTCTCTATTACTCGCTTTGGAAATACGATATTTTGATAATTCCGTAATTGGCAATGATACTGCAGGATCAACTCTATGTGATCTTACAATAGAACAGATCCATGCAGATATTGCTCAATTCATTTTTGCTTTTGAAGGCAATTTCAACTTTCTAAAATCCAGAATTTTGCTTGTTGGCGCAGATTTTGCTGCTAGTATTCTTTCATGGTTTCGATACAAGTATCCACAGTATTCCATTGGTATATGGGGTTCATACGCTCAAACAGACATTATTTTCCAAAATACTTTTATTGATCAGAATATCAAAGCTAGGCTTACTGCTATATCTGAACATTGCTATGACATATTCCATGAAATGTTTAATACCATTCACATATTCGTTAATACTTCCCAAATTACAAAACTAAATCAACTTCTTCAACTATTCGATTTTGGCCATGGAACGAAAGGAGAAGACGCTTTATACATGTGGAACTATTTCTTTACGATGATTGATTATTTTCCAGGAGAAAAAGGCAAAGATAACCTAGAACGAGTTTGTGAGCGGATTAAAGATTATGCAATTGAAGATTTCGATAAAACAGTAGCAGAATTTGCGAGGATTTACAAAGAAACTGCAGAAAAAGCAAATGTCAGAATATCTCACTTAAATCCTTTTAATTTGCTTAACAATTCGATATCATCTTCAATGAGAAATGACAGACTTAAATACTACTTGAAATGCTCTCAATTAGGAAACTTTCACGTGTCAAATGGTTTCATTTCGCCAATGATTAGCACAGATTACTACTGGATTACTTGTTTCTCATTATTCGGTATAAACTCATTCAGATCAATACACGCCGCACGCAAAAAATACAGAAATCCATATCCAGGAACAGTTTCAGTTTTCACAAGTAACAAATACAACATTCACCACAACCTAATGCCATCAGATAATATAAATAACAACGTGCAAGTGATAGAATTACCTGGAATTGGACGATTCTTCGATACAGATGAGGATTCACCAAAAGATTACAAAGAAGAAAGAGAAAACATGAAAATAACATTGACCAAGTGGCTTACTAATGATTGTGCCACAAATTGTGATCAAGGAACCTGCATTTTAGAAAAATGTCGTTGCAACAATTTATATGAGGGAGAATACTGTCAAACTAATTCATACGACCAAAATGTTGTGAGGAATATCTCAATGTATACAACACTTGCAATTACTTTCGTTCTGATCTTCCTTTGCTCACTCGGATGGTACATTTTGCTCAAAGTACCGATTTCTACTTACCTTACAACAGGAAATTATACTTGATTTTGTTTGTAAACTAGCGTGTTTATATAATTTATTTAATTTTTTTTATTTTTTCGATCTAATATCTTAATAGATATATGTAATGAAAGCTTTCTGCTTAAGAAACAATGAGTTGCTGGAGAAATGATGCTACTCTTACTTAGAAATTAGAATTTGAAATTTTATTTTTCACATTAATGTATAATTTTGAAGACCATAAATTGTAAGGTTTGGTGTATTCAATTTCAAATCTAAAATGAATCTTTACAACAAACAATAAAAATGTTTCCAATTTTCAATTAAACTAAAAGAAAAAAGCAAGCGAATACTTCTAAAACGAATATCCATGGAATGATGCGCACTTTGGACAGCATTTCTCACAAGTAAGCTCAAAATTATTTCTCTGATGGGAAAGTAATTCATTTGCATCATAGATTAGTCAAGTAATATCCCAATTTTTGTAATGCTGAATTTCTTCAATTGGATTTGAGTATTTTCCAGTAATTTTTATATTATGAACGTGAGCTAACGTAAATGATCCAATGACATCATCTAAATTTTCTAGTCTGGCAAATATTTGATCCAAAATTCTCAAACCATCATCAAGATTATGTTCATCTATAAACAGAAGTGCTTCGTATCTAACACCAAACAAAAGTAGAGAAAGGTTCTTAGAGGTAAGTAAATTGTATTTTGATCTATCGTAATTCATTAAGATTTTGGTTAGATAATCAAAATGATTCGATAATTCTGGTTGATTTACTATTAACTTAGACATAGGAAGAATTATAAGCGTATGGAACAATAAGTGATAAGTAATTGCTTCAGCAAAATTATTAGAAAGATTATAATTTTGACAAAATAACAAGGACAATGCATAATAAATGAAAGCAAAGCGATCAAATCCTTGCATATAAAATCTATCCGGATGCTCTTTGGATAAAATTGCAAAGATTCTTGATATTGACTGAATAGATTTTTCACAGCGAATTTTTTCAATTTCATTTTCTTTTGCAATCGAATCAAATAGAGTGACAGTCCTAGTAAAATCTGTGGCCATTGTTTTAGCGCTTTTCGTTTTGATTATTGATAGTGGGTCTTCCATTTCTTGACTAAAATAAAAGGATTTATACTGCATATACGATTCTATTATGAATATAAAATCATTTGGAAAGAGTTTGGGAGGTAATTTTGTAATCTTCAGACAAACAAGATATGAAATTAATCTATCAGCAATATTTTTATTTGCACTGTCAGTTAAAAGAAATCTTCTTGCATCCATAAAACTTTTGATATCCCCTGATCCAACATGAAAACTCTCTGATACCTCATTCCTGCTCATAATGAATCAAAAATATGCCAAAAATTTATTATCGGAGTGTTTTAAGCTTGAAGTGTTCAAAGATCACGATCGATGTATATCGGATTGACAAATATCTGTACATTTATATGGTAAAGGGGTTACAAAATCTAATCTGAGTTATTCGACTTTTACACACTATTCTAATTTATTTTTTCATGAGATACAAATCATGAAGATCATCAATCATCGTTCACAATAGATGCTGGAAGTCTACGTAACAAATCATTAATTAAGGTACAATTCACTCTTATCGAATTATTCTTCAAACTCATAATTAGTTTTAATACTCATCGAGAAGAATTTAGAAAATAGCACTATAGCATGAACCAAATTAAGCATTACACTCATTAATTAAAGAAAATTTAAAAATTGATATTCTTTATTATTACGTTTAAATTTTGGAAATAAATTTTAGCTCCAATTTGAATATATTTGTTGTGAATATATTATGAAAGATTAAGGGTGCACCCGTATGTACGTTTATTTGAGAGGAGGAGGATTACCCTCTCAATTTTGAGGGATTCGTTAGTTTATTTTCTCGATGAATATGCAATAAAATTTGATTTTTACCTTATCAATATACTTCATATAATATACACATGTTCATGTAAAAACTTTTTTCCAAAATCCTCAGGAATTAAGGGATTTTTGAATTTGAAGAATTTTTTTCGAATTTTTTCGAAAAAAAATATTTTCAGAACAGCCTTAACGGCTAAGATTTAGGAACAATGTTAAGTATCAAAAAGAAAGGAGGTCTGATATAGACAACATATATCGTTGAAGGTTGAAAAAATCTCTAATATTTGAGCCCAAAATTTCAAATTTTAATTTTTTGAAAAAAGAGGCCACCCGTATGTACGTTTATTTGAGAGGAGGATTATATTTTTGAAAGGGTGAAACATTATGAATATGTTAATTATATAATAATATGTATTATTATAAAAAAGAAAAAATAAAGAACGTTAAAATTTTTCTTTCTTGATTTTTTACAAAATCTACTTAGAATTATGCAAAATATGACTAAATAATTATAAATTTCAAGTTAAAATTTAATTTTGATAAATAATTTAAATTTCAAAATATCAAGTTCAGTTCGACTATGTATGTAGTAATTCCTCAATAAAGTGCCAAAACCCTATTAAAATATATGAACATTTTCAACATTTTAATGTTTTTATTTAAAAATTTGTTGGAATATGAGCTTCAAACAATTATTATGTAAATAAAAATAATTAAATATATGTATTTATTCGTATTACAACCGTAGTAAGTCGATTCTTCCTTTCTTCTACTGAGGTTTGAATTTGATTTCGAATTGTAAAGAGATTCAAAGGGAAAATACTAGCGGATAAAAACTACCTCCATGAAAGGGTCATAATGGAGTCAAGTTGTATTTTTTGATATTTTTTGCTTTTCGAGCCTAAATAGGTAGCCAAGATAATGCCTAAAATAAGGTTCTAAATTCTGAAGTTTACATGATCCTCTCGTGTGCACCCTTAATAATGAAGTCATATTTTTCCATGAGAAAACAATTAACTATTATTCATTCTCTTTGAAAGTGCTCTAATGTCGAATTGCTGTGGAAAAATTTTCAAGTAATTATTTTTACATTTGCAAAAAACTGTTGGACGGTTTATTTTACGTTAGTCAGATGAATTGTATACCCATTCAATCTATATATTTTATGATTTTCATATGCACAGATCATATCATATATTATAACAATAAATTTTTGAAGATAAAATTATTGAGAACCGTCTTCTCAATTCTGAACCTAACCCCCGAAAAAATTTCTACGGTGTTGTATAAATTCAACGTAAGTCAATACGAAAATACATATCAGAATTGAAAATATTAATAATAAAAAGAACACTAAATATGAATCAATTATTTTTTATACTTTAATGTGATTGATATGATATGTGATCTCTTAATTTGAGTACAGTCATTCATCGAAAGTCTTGAAAAAAAGTTGAAAGTCCGAAAAATATTTCTTTAATTCAGTTCCCAACAAATTTACGTATAATGGATTTCATAGGAATTCTGTGAAAAAGTGCCGACGGCTTTTATTTTTTCTTCTCTCAATTTAGGAAATAAATAATTTATGGAGAATCGATATAATAATACAGATCAGATCATACAGAGACTCACAACGCTTTCAGCCCAAGCTATGGAGTCTATTGTAGCTCTTAGGAAAGAAATTTATCAATTACTTCAAGAAAGAAGTAAAATGACTATTCATCTAACCCAATATCAACTCGATTATCAGAAAATGCAAGAATTTTATAACAGATACAAACAAATTATTCCCCGAGAAATAGCCCAAATGAATTCGATGCGATATCAAAATATTCAACAAGAAAAGCGCTATACACCACCTCCTCAAAAACATCAAACAACACCAGTCAAGCCAGAAGTAAAACCAACTCCCATTCCAGTAGAACAGAAACCAACTCAAATAGAATCGACAAAAATGTCAAATTCCGACTTTAATTGGAGTTTTCAATCAACAGGGTCAAAACAATATAAAATATCATTAAAGTATTATATTGATGTAGGAAATATTATAACATCCGTGCAATACGATCCTACGGGCAAATTTATCGCTTTTGCCGACAACAGAAACATTCAAGTCATAGATACTACAAAGCGGGCTCCTTATTTTGTTTTAGAAATTCCTCATCCACAAGGCTGCTGCGACTTTCATACAAGAATTCTTCGATTTTCACCTGATGGAAAATTAATTGCTGTAAGTACATCAGGTTCACAAATCGCTATATTCTCAATGGAAACAAGATCTGTGATTGGCATATTAGAAGGCCATACAAAAAACGTTTCTTCGTTGGCTTTTCTTCATGATGGAAAAACTCTTATTTCTGGCGGCCACGATGGCAATATAATAATTTGGGATACGAATACCCTCAAGTCAGTTAATAAAATTTCCCATGAATTACAGAACGGATCCAATGAACATATGATTATCTCAATTGCAGTCACAGCAGAGGACAAATTCGTCGCTGTTGGGTTTATGAATAAGACTATAGGCATTTACGAACCTACATTCAAGCAGCCGATGAGAACTTTCAAAGCTCATGACGAATTCATTCTCAGTATCATCGCTGCTCCACAAAAATCGATTATATGCACGACCTCGCATGATTACACAGCAAAAATATGGAATTTGCATGACACTTCGAAACCATTGACGACTTTGACCGGCCACACAAGTTTTGTCATCAATTCAGCGTTCTCCCCACAGATAAATAGCCATATTGCGTTGACTGGATCGAAGGACGAAACAATCCGCGGTTGGGATTATTCAACCGGCGAAATGTTGTTTGTTATTAGTCCTTGCAGCAACACAATATTTAGTGTTGACCACCACTGCACAGAGAGGGAGTTCGTTTCCTGCTCCGGCGGAGGAATGGTTTGCGTCTGGGAATATTCTTGAAAAATTTCCATGCTTGTTCGTGATTTTATATTTAATATTCTTTGTATTGTGAAAATAAGTATTTCTAAATATATTTTTTTTGTGTTAATTTTATTTTTCTAAATTATCCATCAATCAGTTAATATTTCACTAAAATACATTTAAATATTAACATATCAGTAAAATCATTCATATATTTTATAATGAAATTGAAATTGTATCATAAGTGGAAGTTTAAAAGATTCTTAATTCTAATAGCTATGTTCATAATATCAATGTCTATGCTACAATATTACATTTTCTTCAATCTGAAATCGTTTTCTCCTATTCAATTGGTTGGAAATAAGATTATTCTTCCAATTCCTCAGAATTACAAACAATTACGATGGAAAATCGATTATAATGGAGCATATGCAGAAGATAATCTACGGAAATATTGCAATTTGACCCATTGCAATATCGAAACATTATTTAATGGCGAGCAAACAATACATTTTCTTTTGGATAACAAAGAAATTTCCAAATTTTCATATACTACAAACAAAGGACGTTTTTTATGCTTCGGAGACAGCTGGAAAAGAAGAATTTGCAGATTTAATGACATTTGTTTTGATAATGGAACACTTACATTTCTTGCTCCATACAGTATGAAAGCTGAGACACCATTTCTTACCATAGGAGCGAGACCACCTCCTTACGATCAAAAGAAAGACAGACAAGAAATATTTAATTTCAACATTTCAAAGAGGTCTCGCTCTTTGTCAAGGAAATATTTCGAAAACACAACCATATACACATCAGTATTCCACAATTCCCACATGATGTGGCATGCTTTATATGACTTAATTTTGCCACTATTTCATACTATGATTTTCTTCGGAATACAAGATTTAAACCCCGAAGTAATAGTTACACATCACGGAGGAAAGATTCCCAATTCGAATTACAAGAAGATTGCCCATTCTTTTATAAATTCTATGTATTTTCTAAAAACAGAAGCATGCTACAGGGATTTAATTGTAGGGATCACAAAAAATAAAGAAGAGAATGGCGTAAAATACCAATTTCCATACAATTTTACTCATTATTTGGTTCCAAAATTGTATAAATACTTTGGAATCAATCCAGAACAATCAGAACAACCAAAAGTGATAATTCTTAACAGAAAAGAAACAAGAAAAATCGTAAATTCTAAACAATTGATTGAAAAATTGAAAATTTTGTTTCCAACACATTTATATATTGAATTATACCTTGAAGACATGACATTAGGACAACAAATATCGGAAATATCAACATGTGATGTGTTAATTGGAGCCCATGGTAGCGGTTTATCGCATCTTGCTTGGATGAAATCAGGAAAAAGGCTTATAGAAGTATTTCCATACAAATTTGATTGCAAAGATTGGTATGAAAGAGCATGTAATGTCTCAGGAGTAAATTATTTCGGATATCATCCTCTAAATTCAAATGAAGCGTTTAATGTCACAGAAAAAGAAGAACTATGCTGGATGAAAGAGAAAAGATGCGAAGGCAGTTGTCATGATCGACTAAGGGATCAAGATATAAACATCAATATTTCGAGATTCATAAATTTGACATCGAAAATTTTTATGAGATGAAAAATTTCAAAGAAAACGATGATGACTTCGAATCATTTCTGAAGGAAAATGATAATGACCAAGATAAAGAAAACATCAGATTTGAAAAAGTTCACGAGTTACTCAATGAAATCAGATTAGAATCAGAAAATCAGAGTGAAACTAATATTATTCCGTTGCTGCAGACATTCATGGACTATATTTCCGATAGTTATAATGCTCTAGCATTCAAAAAGCAGTACAATGTCTCAGAATTACTAATTACGGTATTTTATCAGTATGAAGATGCAGACATAATAGATTCAGCAATATTGGCAATAATAAGATGGATTGCTTATCAAGATTATGATAATGAAAATTTTTTCCAAGAAGAATTTATGAATTTTTTAATTTCAATTCTCCAAAATGAATCAATTGTTTTCGAAATTAGAATGAAAACACTTTGTTTAATACAAAATCTATCAATAAGGTCATCGATTTTATTAAAATTCATGATAGAAAATAATTATGTAAATATTCTCGAAAATTACTTTACAGAAACACCAGGAGTAGAGGTAAACCCCATACCGTACATCCTTTCAATGCTAATTGACCTGAGATACCCAGATATTGACCTTTTTAAACGGTATCTTCAAAGTTTAGAAGATTCATGGATTTCTTACACAAAAGAAATCTCTTATTTGATCAGAAAATTCATTACAGCTGTTGAAAATCCAGTTGAAACTTTCCTTGAAGTTTTTGGCCAAAATTTCCATTTCTCTGAGCTAGATGGTAAAGAAGACGCATTAAATCTGTTTATTTTCTTATGTGAAGTTGCAGATTCTCAAATAATACAGTTATTTTTTGATAATAATGATATCCCACAATTATTTGATGAATCGTCCACCATTGCAGAAAAAATACTAGTTTTCCAACTAATAACAGTTGCAACCCCAAAATTGAACGAAGAAAGTATATCCAAAATTTTTACAGAAAAATTCGTAAGCGATTCAGTAAGATTAGTCAAAAGAGCACAAACAGAGTTACAAAGATCCTTTATAACCATGTTTGACACATGCTTAAATTGTTTCCCGGCTGATTTGAAGAATTCTATCATTAATAAGAAGATCATCCACGTAATAATCAGATTTTTGATTACCGAAGACCAAGAAACCGTGGAATATTCATTGAAATCATTGCTCAATCTCCTGAATTCCTCAACTCTCAATTTTTCCAATCTTACAAACGTTGATCTCAGGTCGTTAGATATGATATTCGATGAATACGATTTCAAAGACGTTTTCGAAGAGATTGAATCTTCAGATGATCTAGATTTTGAAAAAATTGGACCGTTAATCAATGAAATCAGTGGATGCATCGATAAATACATAGATACAGCAAATATAAATGTAAAATATACACCAATTCTCGAAGTTTCTTCGGAATTCATTTCAGGCTATGAAGATATCATCTAATTTGTATATTTATCCTGAGATTCATCAAAAGAAACGTACGGATCTCATGCACTATTTCTTCTATAGAAGTTTTGTTTGTAAATTTTATAAAGATAACGTGTGTAATTTTTCACCCAGCCGTAAGAATCACACTTTTGAGAGTTTTACATGACATTTGCCGGCAAATATCATGTAAAGTTGTCTCAAATATTTTAGGGTAAATACACCGGCAACCCCTGGGAAATAATTGAGAATAAATTACATGGCATTTGCCGACAAATGTCATGTAAAATTCTCAAATGTTGAGTCCCTTATAGCAGGGTGAAAAATCACCCACGTTATCATTAAATCACGTTATATATTTCATATATCACTACAATGCTAAAAAAATTACATATCACTACGATGCTGCGGCCAGAGTCACAAAAAATAATAATGCAATAACGACTTTAAGCTTATTAAGATGGTTCCCAATATTCAAACAAACGTATTAACCACTGAAATGATTAAGTTTATTTTTAATGATAACTAAATCCATTAATATCAAGAATTTAATATGTCAAAAGTTGGATGTTAACATAACATAACATAAATAAGTATTGAAGTTAATTCAATGATGATTAAAATATTCATATGTAATTGGAAACATTTTAAATAAATATCGATCTAACTTCATGTTTAATGATATGATAAGCATAAAGTATTTGCATATGGAAGAAGTTATGCTTGGGGCATGTAGATAAATCATTTTTTATACAAGAATGAAAAAACAATCAATTTGTTTTTTTTAGATAAATAAATTTTCAGATGAAAAAGACAATGATGCATAACAGCCTGTCTTACGACTAACAAAATTAAAAGTTTTAAATACGTTTATTGATTTATCCAAAATTCTGTATATTTAGACACTTTTTTTATCTCGTAAATTCAATTGCTTTTATGCTCAACTTGATTGAATCTCATTGATCGTTTTTAGGCTACCCGTAGAGAATCCATAGGTTCAGCGTGATTTCTCTCGTAAACTTTTGAATTGAAATAAACGATGAAAAAAACAAAAGTTTACAAAAATTCCATATTTGCTTTTTTTTTCCAATGGCAGAGAAGCAAGAAGAAGTGCTCCTCTCCATTATGAGTTGGCTGCGGCAAAAGACAGCAGCATTCCGATTCGATAGACAACTGTATTGCGTTGTTACGGATACAGAATTCGTTTGCTATTCTGATGAACAAATGACAAAGATCGATAAACAGATTCCTTTAACACAAATCTCAAAAGTTTCCCCACTTCCAGCATCGTCAAGACCTGGGTTCTCATTTCAGCTTCCAAATGGTTCGACTTTGATTTTTTACGATACATCTATTCATCAAGCACAGAAATGGATATGCGCCCTTCGAACTGAACCACCAAGCGAGAAAGTAAGCATTGACAGTTTTAACTTAAAGAAAGTTATTGGCCGTGGAGCTTCCGGAAAAGTCTATTTGGCTGAAAAGAAATCGACAGGTGAACGCTTTGCAATTAAGGCTATTCGCAAGGATTCATTACCACAAAAAAAGAGAGTCTCACGAGTTAGAGCAGAAAGAAATGCTTTGATGAGAGCAAAACATCAATTCATAACTCGCCTCTTCTATGCATTTCAGTCACCAACCAAGCTCTATTTCGTCATGGAATACGAGGCAGGAGGAGATCTCCGTCATCACATGGATCAAAACACGTCTTTTTCGTTGCCACAGATACGAATCTATTTAGCTGAATTAGCATTAGCTTTAAAGACATTACACGGCCTTGGAATCGTATACAGAGATCTCAAGCCAGAAAATATTTTGCTTGACGCCGAAGGACACATCAAATTAGCCGATTTCGGACTGGCAAAAGAAATTAACTCAGAATCAGATGCTACATCCATTTGCGGGACATGCGAATACATTGCACCAGAAATGTTACGATCCCAGCCGCAAACGTTTGCCGTTGACTGGTGGTCATTTGGCGTTATTGCATTCCAGCTACTTTGCAATCGTTTGCCATTCGCAAGTGCCAATCCACAAAGATTATTCCAATTAATCATGAATAACCAACCGAGAATACCAAACAACTTAGACAGTTCTGCACAGTCGTTCTTACAGCAGCTTCTAAATAAGGAGCCAGCAAAAAGACTCGGTTCTGTTGGCACTGATATCACTCACCATCCTTTCTTCGAGGATATTGACTGGGACATGGTCGCAAATAAAGAGTACAAACTTGATTTCGTGCCATCTCTCGAAACTCCGGATTCTGTTGAAAATTTCGACAATCAACTGACAGAACAGACTCCACAAGATTCGTATACCGATGATAACCTCAACATCAACGTTCAGGGATTCTCGTACGTCGGAGCGAACTCTCCTTTCGACGATTGCGTGATCGGCGACTGCAAAATTGTCGATTCAATGAACGACGACATGTCCGATGAACACAACATGGAAGAAAACAACGATGATCAATAATCCTTATTTATTTATTGAATAATTTAATTTATATTATGTTATGGACTCACTCTATGTGAGGCCTGAATAAAACATTATGTTATGTTGATAATACCTTTTATTATGCACTATAATAAATGCTTTATCGATATACATTTTTTTTTTTAACGAATACTATTGATAACAGTATTTATCTTCTAAAGCAACAATTCTCTCATCCAGAAGAGGAAATATCGTATAATCATGATTATGTTTCAAAATTTGTGATTAGAAAGTTGTGTATTTTGCAATTTAGTCAATGAGGATATCACACATCATATTTGAAATACTTGAACTAAAGCTACAAGCTGAATTACAATAGAAAACCCTTTTCATCATTGATGATCATCTTGCAAATGTAAACTATTGAAAATTTGTAAATATAAACCACCAATGAAATTTTTATTTCAATATCATTGCACCAAACTCATCAATTCTCGATGGCGCTAAGAATACGGAACCTTAAATAATCGTAAAAAATTTGAGATGAAAGAGAAACATGTCAAAATTGTCAGATTTTTGCAATCTCTAATTTAAATGGCAAAGAATGACTTTTATCAATATCCGATTCCTGAAATTCTTGATTTCACGTCATCACTGACACAACAAGACTTGAGTGTCACCAATATATGCCATACAATTTATAGCAATTACTCTCTACAAAAATTCAACCAAAATCAAATCGATTTCATACGAAAAAATTCCAAAAATCATCAAGAAATCGTAAAATCATTATTCGAAATCGGATATTCCCTCCCATTTTTCCCTAATCTTGTTGAAGATTTTTTCAAAAAAGCAGTACCATTCGCAAAATACAATCTTGCTTGGCTACTGAATACATCTATATCATGGTATCTTTTTCACGCTAAAACTCGAAGCTACAAATACTTAAATTCAGTTTTATATTCTTTAATCAACAATACAACAAAAGATTCGCAAGTTTTTACAATATCAATGTTTTGTTTCTTATACAAATTTGCATTAATATCAGCAGATTCGACTCAACTCGACACTCTTATTGACATTTTGATGATTTTTTTCTCTTATCCATTTGAACACCCAGAAGAAGCATCTGAATTACTAGAAATAACTTTGCGCAAAACCTGCAAACCAAATCCTAGAGTTTTAAGCGACGAATCCAGAAAAATTTTGTCATCAATTATTGGATGGCTAACGACCAATACAGTTCGCATAAACCCTCAAATAATGGAAAGGATACTCGAAATCATAATTCCCCTTATCACAAATTTGGATTCTTACACTTTAAACATTCTTCGAACTTTTGTCGAATATGCCAACAACGACGTACTCAGCCGCATATTTTCTGAGATTGTACCGAATTTTTGCGACAAAATTGAAAAAATTGAATCAGAAATGTTTTGGATTTCAAAGGAAAAATCTGTGCAGATACAACAAACATTCATATCTGATGGAAGCATAGCCATTATTACTAAAGAAAGTTTCAAAGAAGGTTTGAATTTAGAAAAAATTTCATTTCCACCTTATATTGGCTTTCCGAAACCAGAAACATACAATGAGATCAACTTATTATCCCAAGCTCTGTCGAAGTGCCCCATGTACATCATTCCCTTCCTCTCAGGAATTTTGTTTGAACTGAAAAACAGGGAAAAGTCAAAAATATACGGCCAAATCTTACTTGCCCTGTTCAATTTCATCGAGATACTCCGTAACCACTCCAATTTGTCCACTCTAATCCTTCACGACGCAAATTTAATTTTTTCTCCAAACATAACAGTGTTTGATGGTGCCACTGGTTACGAATATCTCAACACGTTCAGATTCCAGGCATTGCGGCTGATTTTAGACGAGACACTGATCGCAATCAACGAAAAACTGCAGGGGAAGATAGACACGAGGGATGGGATTCAGACCCCGCCAGATGTGAAATTGGAACTGTTGGACAATTTCTACACAGACCATATGACTTCTCCGCTTCTTTTCGCCGAAATAAATTACAGACTGGCAAATGACGTTGAATACCTGGCCAATATCATCAAACTCGATTCAAGATTTATCAGAACTATCCGAAACGCGCTAGATTACTACAGAAATGCCAATTTATCCGGTTTGGAATTTCAATACGAGATAGAAATAGGGAGAAAGTCGCTTTTATATCTTCTGATGTCTTTGGTGGAGAACAGCAGCACATGCAACATCGTTTCTTCCATGCACATCCTTCAACATTCCGTTCTTTTCATGTTATTAGAGATTCCTTTGAGGAATTTCGCGCTATCCATATTCTCAATGATATTCAAGAACTGTACAATAGAGAACGCATTCGCTGTTCTTGAAAATTTTGAAAAATTATTTGCAAACGCGGTTATTAACATGAAAGATGCGAAATACTTAGAGCTTTTGACAGATTTGTTGACATTTATGACGTATGAATACAAAAAGAAGCCAAAATTGGGAGAAATGTTTTCGAATATTTTAAATAAAATAAAGGAGATACTAGAGAAGCTCGAACCACTTCCATCCCACGAGAAAATGTTTACTACAATCATTATATTCCTAACTGACATCATAAATGGCGTAGAAATCCCTTCATCCATCTTATCGAACCTTTCTGTCGCTGTAAACTCTATTTACGGAGAGAATCCACCTGATTCTATCTACAGCTTGTTCATAAAGTTCGTTAAATGCGACCAAAATGCTGATTTGTCACCGAATTTCGTTTTAAACGCTCCAAAAGTTTTCAAATTCTTCCTTCAGATCTTTATTAGAACAAAATTCGATCAGACAATCGATTTCGCATCATCTCTAATCAACTTCAAACGCGAAAACGCTATCAAAATGAGTAATTCTGAAATTGATATTTACATTTTATCGTTAATACCTCAATTTGATGATGTTTCAGTCACAAAAAAGCTTCTGCAGTTGTTCAAACAGATTGCCCTTGTAGAATCACCTCCATTAGTCGTAAAACATTTCATATCTCTGATTTCTCCAGTGAATGGAGTCCTAAACAAGCATCATTACCTACTGATGAGGACACTATGGGAGGTAATATCTGCAACGTACTGGTTAAGACCGTTCACAGGCGTTCTTGGACATATTTATCAGGTAAATTGTCTCCAGGAGGTGCAGACACTGCTATCCAGAGGCTTCACCCTGTGCACGTGGATCAATTGTTTGCTGTTTTCGTCAAAAAAAGTCCAAATTTTCGAATTATCTTACGAAAATACCAGTATTAGACTGATTTTGGACAACCAGAACCTCAAAATAGTCCACAAAGATCTCAATGCTACCAACATCACTGACTTAAACACCAAGGTTTCGAAGAATATTTGGACTCAAATTTATATCAACTACGAAATCCAGCAAAACAAAGTGATTGAAATATCTTATAACATAAACGGCGAAGAGCACAAAGAAAATCCATCCTACACCATAGACCAAATACCAGAAAAAGTGAATATTAAAATTGGTTCAAAAATTGAGAACTTTGACGGTTTGATTGAAATCGGAACCACTATTTTTACAGTTTTACAGACACGGCAGAAGGCAACACTTCTGAAAACCACACCGATAAGTCCTTATCCGAACGGAGTGAAAGTTATTACCGGATATTATGAGAATCCGAAACTCGAATCCAACACGAATCCAGACAAGAGCTCATTCACATACTCGCTCACGAAGCTGTGGAAGATGGATCTGCTGCTTCCTCTCTTCAGTCTGTTCGAATACAAGTTATCTGACGGGACAAACTGGGAGAACGGGCCTAGCCAGACCGTTGCCATCTTCACCAAAGCATTGCTGACTAATGACTCCGTGCAGAGGAACTTCTCCGACTTCAAGAAATTCGATTACGTCGCGCATTTGGTTTCGAAATACCCATCTAACTTCAGAAATTTCGAATTTTACTCTTTGTTTTACTCGATGTTCCTTTCGTTATCAGAAACATCCATCCAGCAGCATCTGTTCGACGCAATTCTATGCAATCCAAACATATGGAATACATCTGAGCCTCAGGATCACTTAAAAATTTTAAATCATTGGAATGTGGCACTTTTCCCAAGATGTGTCACTTTTATTCAAAAACTTCGTCCATTTAAGAAATTGCTTAATATACTTACGCTGTACTATTGGTTCGAAAGCGATCCAAATGTTTCGATTGGCTCTCCAAACTCGAAAAGACCGAGACACCCTGATTTAGACGTGAAAAAGTGTAGAAAAGAAATTGGTTTCTGCATGATACAGGTCGCAAATCTGTCATTTACAAAAGAGGACTTCATGGAAATATTTGATACATGTCAAACAGTTGTAAATGATACAAAACAAGTCACTTCACTTTTGAAACTTTCACGTCAACTTATTGAAGGGATTGCTCTATGCCGAAAACCAGGATTTATCGGAGTCAGGGATCTGTACAGCATTCTAGAGTTAGTTTCCAGAAACAACGAAAAAATCTCACTCGGAGTGGTCAAACTCATTTTGACATTCATCAAAAATAACTCCCTCGAAACAGTGTTCCTATTGAATTGCCTCGATTCAATAATTTTGACTCTCCCAGCACAAATTTTGAGTGAAAAGTTTTTCAATACAATTTTTCGGTTATTAGACGATAGAATTGAATTATTAGGATTATTGTTTTACTATGGATTTTCTCATCCAGCCTCTAACCAAATTATTATAGACAAACTGTCTAAGATCAAGGATATCGAGCAGTTTAAGAAGTCAAACATTTGGTTTGTCTGGCCTATTTTGTTTATCACGAAACTCGACAAGAGAAACAAAGCAAAAATGACAAGAATTATTGTCAGTTTTTGTAAACAGAATTTGACGAAATTGCTTTGTGACGTTGATGTACTTACTAGAGCATTTGGAGAGAACTACGACTACTTGAAGTCTTTGTTTTGCTACGAAATAATTTTGCTTCTCCTGACTGAAGAAATATCGATGACAACTGACCAATTGATTCAGTTGTTTAATTACGTTTTCACAACAATTTTCTTCAGATTGAACAGACCTGTTTCGAATCAGCTGCAAAATTCTGCAATTTTGTCACCTTTTTCCGAAAATTTCAAACAATTTTCATCTCCAAACAAGCTCAGTGCCTTCCAAGGAATATTCCTTACAAAACTGTTCATGAACATTGATTTGCAAAACACTAAATACTTCTTTGGATACAGATTTGACGAAAGGGATATTTGGTCTGATTTGGGACTGGCACAAATAACTCTGGAACTGATAATGAAATTTAACGCTGCTTACTACTACAGACATGCATTATTCATGTCACAAATGATCGCAAAATTCGCTAAGCCATTGGTAGAAAATTTCGTTAATCAAATAAATTTACCTCAAAATGACCCCTTTGTTATCTCAATTTTTGATGAAAAAGTGACATGTCCATTGAATTTCATTGATAGCGAAGTTCTCAACAAGATTGTTCCTGTTACAGCTGCATTGAGTGATATTACGAATGAAGTGAAGAAGTCATTTACTGACATCTTGGATATTTCCGAAAACATGATAAAATCAATGGCGCAAAGATCGGAATTTTCCAAATTAAATGTTGCCAGAAACGACATCGCTATTTCCAACAGACAGAAGATGATGAAATGGAACCAAATCTGGTCAGAAATGACAAGTGAAAGCTGCCCTTGGTCGTCGATGGTCGAAAGAACAGAGATGAGGTGGAGAAGGGATGACACAGCTTGTTTCGCGTTTTGTCCTGTCAGATTGAAGCAAAACAAGAATTTCAACGACCACCTCGACGCGTCAAGACTGAGAGACTGCTCGACATTCGTGCCTAAAAGCAGCAGCTTCCACAACAAAGAGCTCGATGATGAAAATCTCAAATTGTCAAAAACAAAAATTTTCGGTTTTGACACAAGAACGGTTATTAACTCAATTTCTAACGGTTTGTTTACAGCCCATTGCAAATTAATCAAGCCGAGGCATTCCATGAAGGGAATATTCACTCTCCAGCAGAAGTACATCGAATTAGTTTTCGACGAATTTGACGTGACGATTATTCCTTTGTCAGATGTCAAATTTGCATTTTTCCGGACCATGTTTCACAAGAAGACTGCGATAGAGATATTCACCCACTCAGGCGCGCCATATTTCATCAATTTCATTGATCTGCCAAAGAATATTTCTTCACTTCACATTCTTCAGAAAATTTCCGAAATCAGTCCTAGAAATTCTATAATCCAGACATCTCCATTTTTACCATATTTCACCTCACTTAAATTGACAGAGAAATGGCATAGCGGCAACATGTCTAATTTTGAGTATTTGATGTGTTTGAACATTTATTCCGGGCGGAGTTTCTTAGACCAAGGCCAATATCCGATCTTCCCTCTGATTCTGGTCGACAGCACCAGCGAGAAACTCAATTTCTCTGACGACAGAGTCTACAGGGATCTCTCGAAACCGATCGGAGCATTAGATCCGAAGAGGCTGCAGGACATCATCGAGGAAATGAAGGAGAGAGACTACATGATGTCGACAAAGAGCTACCTGTACTCCTCAGGACCAGTTTCGAGACTGGCAATTTGCATTTTCTTGCTGAGAATGGAGCCGTTCACGAGTTTGCACATCCACCTCCAGAGCGGCAAATTCGACATCGCTGACAGACAACTGGCTTCGATTCCGGAGTTAGTCAACGCCATTTGCCACGGTCCGAATGACTTCAGAGAGCTGATTCCTGAGTTTTATTTCCAGCCGGAATTTCTTCTGAATATGAACCATTTCGATCTTGGCGTGAGAAAGGCAGGAGTTCTGGATGACGTTCTTCTTCCGAAATGGGCGAAATCTCCTCTTGAATATGTTTATTTGAACAGAAAAGCTCTTGAATCCGATTTTGTCTCATCAAAACTCAATGAATGGATCGATCTAATCTGGGGTTACAAACAAAAGGGAGAAGAAAGCATCAAAGCTTTCAACACATTCGATCCAACTCTCTATGATGACACTTGGGATGAAAGTAACCCTCTTTACGATGAAGAGCAATTGAAGGTGTTCCTTAAATTAATTGGCCAAATTCCATCTCAATTATTTAAATCACCTCACCCGGCCAAACAATTTCCAATTACTCCAAAACCACAAACAATTCCATTCCAGATTTTCATGAATTCGGAAAGAGTTGTTTATACACACTTTTCGAATACAGGTTTAGTTACTTTTCTCACTAATTTTGGCAGTCTGATTTCTGTGAAAGAGTCAATAACTCCAGACAACAGAATAGACTTAGTTTCCTTCTCAAAGAAAGAACTCCAAAATACCAAACTCATCAAATCCCTCCAATCAGGAGAAGTGACAGTTAAAAGTGTCGGATTCAAGTTCATTTTGGTTTATTCGAAAGAGCAGAATTCCCTGTTTCTGATTGACATCGAATCAGCCAAACTGACAAGGATTGAATCAGCGCACTTGGCTGTTCTCAAGATTGCGACATCGAATGACTGGTTCGTGACTTGCGGAAGGGAAGGCAGCTGCCACATCTACAACGTGGATCAGCCGAAAACAATCCAGTTTATGTCGCAAAGTTACAGAGATGGAATCACTTGCACAGCGATTTCCGACACGTACAAAGTCTGCCTTGTCGGAACAAGAGATAGAGCAATCTCTGTCATCTCTCTGACAAATGGAATCACCACGAGAATCATCGAGGTTGGCGGAGTTCCAGTCAAAGTCGCAGTGACAAAGAGCTGGGGATTCATCGTAGCTTTGTTCTCAGAGAGCTACAACGAAGAAGAGAGAGATGACTTGAAAGCGCAAAAGATATCTGTGTGGACAATCAACGGAATGCACGTGAAGACAGTTCCAATCATGTTCGACGCAATTGATTGGACTCTATGGAGCAGCAATAGAGGATTTGACTACATAGCTTTCGCTTTGAGGAACGGAATGATACAAATTGCAGAAGTTTTTGACTTGGATTTCAAACTGTACCAATCTTACTTGAAAGTCCAGAACCAGGATTTGGAACTCAGCGGATTCTTTTATTCCCCTGTTTCACATTCACTTATTTGCATAGATAAACAAGGAAGAGTTTGCTACACTCCTTACACTCCTCCTTCTTGGTAATTTTGTATATGTTTATTTTTTATGTTGTTATATATTATAAATCTGTTTGTATATTTAATCATGAATATATGCTTTAAATATATATATATATATTAGAAAGTTGAGAATGATTTCTATTCTTCAAAATGAGATAGAAGCCATACAACATGATTGTGGGAAAATGGCGTACCAAAAACACCATAAGGCAAATAAAATTTATCAATTGTTTTTATAATTCGATTTCGCTTGAAATTGACAGCTCAATAAATTATTTATTATAAATTATCACAACAAGAAGAAGCAATGTTAGGAAGTATTTTTTATATAAATATATTTTTTCAATATATTCAATTTCAAGAGTTGCAAATATTGAATAATTGAATGAACTTACTGTTGCATGCTAAGTTCGGTCAACGATAGAAATTGAGTGGAAATTAATCGTCGAGGAAGTACGATTATGTAAAGTAAAAAATGTTGTGGGATTTTTAATATTATATATTATTTTATAATAAAATTTTTTTGAGTCATTTTAAGAAGCACATATAATTTTTTGAATTTAAAAATTAAAGTAGTGTCAAACGAATTTATCACTTAATTTAATACTCAGATTTCTTAAAATTAATGAAAAAAAAGGTTTTCTGAGAACTTTTGAGAATGGTTTTCAAATTCCATTATTGAAAATATATAGGTATTGTATGAAATCCAAACTCTATATTTATTAAAATTCTAAATTTTTAATAAAATAACTTTTCAGAGGAATATGATTTTGAATGGTTGATTAATAAGTATAAAAATGTCTACGATTTTAAGGAGGGAATTGTTCCTTATGAGGTATACATCATAACTATATACCTCATAAGGAACAATTCCCTCTTGATAGCTGGGAAACTTTCTCTGAATAACTTATCATTTGGAGAAAGTTTCCCAGCTATCTATTAGAAACTAAAGGCTGTGAGGCACTAATATATAATCAGTGCCTCATAGCCTTTAGTTTGTTATTAAAAACGAGAAAACTTGTTCGAAATGATAAACAATTTCGAACAAGTTTTCTCATTTTAAGGAGGGAATTGTTCCTTATGAGGTATACATCATAACTATATACCTCATAAGGAACAATTCCCTCTTGATATCCTGGATATTTTTGAATATATTTTTTTAATTAAAGTTCTCAAAAGTATTATCAAAAGTGATTTTTTAAAAATATCTCCAATTAATTAACTAATTAAAAGTATTATATTTTTAAAATTAAATAGTTTTTCAATTTTTTTGAAGGAATTGAGATACTTCCCACGACAATAAAATTGAGAGGTTTACATTATGACTGATCTTAGCATGCAACACTTACGACTTTTTTTAAATAAACAATCAATAAGTTAAGGAAAATAAAAAGAGAGATAAAGAAAAAAGAAATAAAATTATTGAAAGAAGGATATTTAGGAAAGTTGCAAGAATGTTCAGTGAAAACAGAAAGATCGAGGTATGAAATGACTTTGACTTTACTGTATCCGAAAAAATCAGACGGATAACACTTGAACAATTCCCAAAATAATAAACAGTTTTAAGTGATCTACACCCATCGAATACATTTTTCGAAATTGATGTCACGCAATTTGGAAAAGTGATTGATTTTAATGAAAGACATGAAGTAAAACAAGATTCAGACACTGTGGTTAAATTAGACAGTGTTAAATCCATGTATTTCAATTTTGTAGCGCTGATAAATGAATATTCATCTAACTTAGTTAAATTTTGTTTTGCAACAAATTTTTGCAATTTTGTTTCTGAAAATGCAGAAGTTGAAACTATTTTGATATCTAAATCAAATTCTGTAATATTGGCACATGCGCGTATTAACATTCCCTTAGATATCTCAATCAAACAGTTGTCTTCTACTTTGTAAAAATTATTTGGTTGTATTATTGTAAATTCGTTTAGATTTGGACAAGATTCAAATGTGGCCCAATAATGAATAGATGTTATAGATGAAGGTAGATTTATTGATGCAATATTTGAGAATTGAAAAGCTAAACTTTCGATTGCTGTTAAAGTTTTGGGAAATTTTATTGAGTTTAGATTATGTGTATTCTTAAAAGCCTTAGAACATATCGTGTTGATATTAGATTTGCTTAAATCAAGTGAATGAAGTTCGAAATCTGCAAATCCTTCTTCTGCGATAGCTGTAACTTCTGGGTATTGATCGTCAATAACAAGGTCCCCTGAATTTGATTTGTCAATAATAGAAATCTCATTTCCTTCAACTTTATAAATTTCTCTCTAAGTTTTTTTTGGGCCACCTTTTTTTGGGGAACTGAGGGAAACTGAGCACTTTTTCTCTGTGAATATTAGATTTTTTATTAATATGTTTAAACAAATATTATCTATTACTATATTTTAGATTATTGTTTAAATAAAATTTAAATTATAATAAATATTCGCAGAGTTTTGATGAAAAAATTGTGTCACTTTTGCAAAAATTGAGAGCCCTTTTGGGCAACTGAGCGACGATTATTTTTGATCAATCAATCTCAATATCTCAATATCTGTTAGTTATTAACTAAAAGTAGTTGAACATTTGATATCAATTATTATTGTTATCAGATATTATTATCCATTTATAGTTAAATCACGCAATTTTTATCTAGTTTTAAATAATTTAACGATAATATTTTGGATTTGGAAGCTAGATTTGTAATATATCCATGTATACTGTACCCTTTACAAGAATAGTGTACAATTTTTAACTAAATTGAAATTTTTGAAAAAGAATCTTATTATTTGGAAAAAATATCGTGCTTTTGAATGAATTTGAAAATATAATAATACAAAAAGATAATATAAAACATATAGAAAAGGGTTGAATGTATATTTTGATGTATTGAATGTGTTATTTTCAGTTGCCCTCAGTTTCCCGATAATTTTAGGAAAAAGAGCGATAGTTTCCTCAGTTGCCCGACGATTATTGTAAACATTGTTCAGTTTCCTCAGTTGCCCGACGATTATTTTAACTATGATTTCCTCAGTTTCCCGAAATGACGATAGTTGTAAACTTCACTCAGTTTCCTCAGTTGCCCGACGATTATTTTAACTATGATTTCCTCAGTTTCCCGAAATGACGATAGTTGTAAACTTCACTCAGTTTCCTCAGTTGCCCGACGATTATTTTAAACTTTATTTCATCTGACTTTTTTCATTTACTTTATTATCTTAATATTCTTCATACATTATCTTCTATATTTATCAATTTCTATTAAATATTTCAATTATACAATTTTTGACTAAGTTATTCTTTTATACTATTATAATTTGAATTATCACCAATCACTTAATTAGATATCTTTATTTAAATACATAATATCTAAAATTGATAGTGATTTTTCAAAAGAAAAAATTTCTCTGTAAAGAAAAAGTAAAAAAAAATTAATGGATTTTAAAATTTTTGCTAACAAACTAGAATATAGATCCAAGGTGATGTGATTTTTGCATCCCTGGGATGGACGATACACCCAAAGTGTCACCTTTTTTGGGATAACATGAATTTTAAATATCATGAGAGTTCTGCAAACCATATGCACAATATCTATTCAGCCTGACTTCTTGTATATATGAGTTAGACTTCTTAAATATTGTGCTTGGGGCGATATAAGCATTTCCGAGATTACCATCGTGCTCTATAGTATGCTACTTCTCCCTGGTTCTAGCTCAGTTCCAAGGATATTGGCGTTCAAGGATTTGGCAAGGTCCTTCCGAAGTCTCTCATTCGATGAGAGATTTCGGAAGAATCTTGCCTTAAAGTACTCCAACTCTTGTTCTTTTGTTCCTAAATAGTGAGAAAAGTTATTTGACTACTTAAGGTAGAGATTATCCGAGGTCCCTCATTTGATGAGAGGCCTCGGATAATCTCTGCCTTAAAATTGTACACTTGTAGTCCATGAGAGTGTAAGTATACATTGATAGGACAGCTTTCTTCTGAAGTCTTAGATTTGATGAGAACCTCAGAAGAAAACTGTCCTATTTTATAGTAAAAGGAGTTTCAGGAGCTCCAAAGCTCCCTTTCGTAAGGATTAGGAGCTTTGGAGCTCCTGGTTCGTAGATGTGTTTCGCATCTTTCATCAGCAAAGGACATTTACCATCTGGGACTCTGTTGATGGAGACTCAGGAGCTCCAAAGCTCCCTTTAGTAAGGATTAGAAGCTTTGAAGCTCCTGGTTCGTAGACGTGTTTCGCATCTTTCATCAGAAGAGGCCCAAATGGTAAATAGCCTCTGCTGATGAGCTTCAGGAGCTCCAAGGCTCCCTCTCGTAACGATTAGGAGCTTTGTAGCTCCTGAAGATAAGGTAGGATTGCTCTGATCTCTAATCAGTAGATGCCATGCCTCATTATGAACTCTACTGACAAGAGATCAAGAGCTCCAAGGACTCCCTTTTTAGTTAGTGGCGTTCTCACCATTTAGTAGGATTGCTGATCCTACTAATGAAGTGATCACTTAGTATACGTTTTGAATAAATTGAATTTTTTTTAGAATTTAGTATTTTTTATAGACATCACATGTATATTATAAATACATAAATATATTCTTTAATTCAAAAAATTCAATTCGGTTTTGGGATGGGTATCCCAGCCCCAAGTATTCAATTTTATTCAATTTTTTAAGAATTTTGGGTTGGGATGCCCAGACCAAAACAAGCTTTATATTTTGATGTGTAGATACGTATGTGTGCATCATTGTTGTGTTATATATTATGTTTTTAATGAAAAAAAATCTGATTCAAAAAAAATTATCACTAATTAGTTGATAATATAAAGAAAAAATAGATAAATTGTATGTTTTGAGAGTATTTATCCACATTCACTCATATGAATTTCATTAAATAGTGTCTTTTTACTCCCAAATTTATTTTGAATTATTGAAATCAAAGAAAAAAAATCAAAAAAATTTCTCGAAATTTTTATTTTCAAAAAAATTTGGATTTTATATTGAAAACTGACACTGGGAGGACGATAGGGCTGGGATTGGAGATACCCCGCTCACTTGGGAAAAATACGGATCTATAAACTAGAATTGTCAAGAGTATATATCGACGTTTCAAATCAATATTTATAAACACTTATATTTATTAAAAGAATTTCATAGAAATCTGTTTAATTTATTGCATAATTTAACAAGAATAAGAATTTATGAAATCCAATAAGTTAATTAATATCAAAATTTTATGATTTAGGAAAGTATATTATATATATTGAAATAATAGAGGAGCAATAGGATTAAGAAAAAAATTAAGAAAATAAAAATGTATTGATAACTATCGTCATTTCGGGAAACTAAGGAAATCATAGTTAAAATAATCGTCGAGTAGTAGATAAGTGGGGGTTTAGTGACTTTTTTTGTTACATCTATATATAGACGATGCATTAAAATATATTTATTTATAAATCATTAAATCATTGATGACATTAATTTTAAAATAATTATCATAATGAATGAAAGATTCACTATCATAATGAAATAAAAAATAAACTTTAAAAATTCATGTCTTACATTTATGAATAATTTATTTTTTTTAATTCGTAAGAAAATGAGTGTCAAAACTAACAACGTTAAAAAATTAGGATTCACAAACGAGGAAATAAAGGATATATTAGAGGAGGTGGGTTATGAAGTTAGTAAATATTATTTAAGAAATTGTCAAAAATTTGCCGAGTTATTAAATGATTTAGATTATGATGAAAAAATGAATAAAGATGATGTTATAAATTTCTTATATCCCACATCTGAAGAAGAAAAACCTAAAGAACCTGATGTTTTCCCTGAATATTATGAAGAACGAATTAAAGATGATGATGAATACGATGAAATTGAAATTGAAAGACTGGAAAAAATAAGAGATGAAATAGATGAAAAAATTAAGGAATTAAGAGAAGTTGAAAAATATAATGAAAATGAAGTAGAGGGTTTAATGAATATCCCAGCTTCAGAATCAGCAGTTCAGAAATCTCATGAAGAAAGATATAAAAATTATGTCTCAGAATCAACACAAAATTTATTAGATGGTGATATTGACGAAACACTTTCAGAAGAAGGCACAAAATTTATTCATAAACATAAGTTACAATTTATTGACGATGGAGATTATCCATGTATATTACTTTCACCTCCTCTTGATTCTGAAAAATTCAAAAAAGCTCTTAAAAACGTGACATATGCAACTAATACAATTAAGAAAGAAGATCATGATATTTACACAAATTATTATTTAAATAAATGTACAGGTGTTGATAAAGTTTTTGATTTGTTAGATAAAATATCAAAAGAAACAATTGGAACCTATAAAATTTTATGTGATTGTGGTTTCATTATTGAAGATACCAATAATGTTTCATATGAAAGAACAGCACCGAAGGAAGACGAAGTTGAAAGGTCTATACCATTCGTTATTAAGAACATAAAAGATATGAAAACGTATAAGCATTATATTTATTCATTTATTTCAGAAAAAATGGAAGCAACCCATAAAACATCATCTCATCATTTTATAGCTATTCATACATTCCTTTTCAAAGTTGTGAAATTAAATAAGACAGGAATTAGATTTAATGTATCAGGGTACGCATTCTTGAGTAAATTAAAATGTATTCGTCACGTCGCAGATGATAAAAATTTATGTGTTCTTAATTCATTTTATGGACTTTAGCCCTGGACTTTAATAAATAAACTTTATTTTTATTTATTTAATTTTTATTCTTACATAAATGAACAAAAATGGAACAGCTAAAATGAATGATAATCAAATAAGAGCCGAAGGTAGAAGGTTATTTAAACGCTTCTATAACATTCCTGATGGTGTTAATCCTAAAACTCGTAGAAGCTATTTAAATGAAGCCATAGATGCATATGAAGGATTTGACATTTCATCAGAAAGTGAGAGGTTAGCAAGAATGTTAAACATTAATATTGATTTCTATTATTGTGATCCTCAACCAGAAGACGTAGACATTAACAAGGTAGACTTTCCATTAGTGGATTCAATAATGATAGATCCAGAATTTGAAACAGTAAATATTTTATTAACACAGAGTCCATGTGGAAAACTTCACGCTGACAGAATTACAGACGTTGAAGCACTCACAGGATATAAAGTTTGCCCCTTTTGCAAAGAAGAAGTATATTCTATCCGTGATGATCCAGAAAGGAAAAACCAAAGAAGATTTTTAAAACATTGTGAGAAATGTAAAGAAAATAATGGAAGATTAATTCAAGACGTTCAATTGCAAAACACACAACAACCATATGCACCACATATTACGAAACAGAAGATATATCAGTGGTTATTAGCTCATAATTTACAGGAATATTATAAACCAACAAGATATTATATTACTTTTGACTTCGAAACATTAGAGACTAAAGAAGAATTACAACTTTCTGAGTGTGCAACTTTAAACGCTTACTTAAAACCATTCATGGTATCATCAACTGTCAAAATAAACGATAAAACATTTACGAGGAATTTTTGCTTAACTTCAAGTGATTCTTTTATTTCCGACTGGATTGAGTTTTTATTTTCAACCTGTTCATTAGTTGCTAAATCAAATATTGAACAATATGAAGAATTAATGAAGTCGCAAACGGACCAAACGGCGGGGACTTTGTCTCATACATTAAATGAAAAACAGAAGGAAGCATTTAAAGAGCTTTTAGATGAAGAATTTAATAAAGTGAATATCATTGGTTTTAATTCAGGAAAGTTTGATTTAAATTTAATTCTTCGTGATTTAAATACTGCAAAATGGAAGATAAAATCAATGCTGGGTTCTTCTTCTCAATTTAAGCAAGTCATAGTAAAGAAAACAAACTGTCCATATGAATTAAGATTTATTGACATCAGAAATTATATAGCGGGTGGAACATTAGACCAATTCACTCAAGATTTCGGAAACAATAAATCACGTGTTAAATCCTTTTTCCCATATCAATTCATCACATGGGAGAATTACGAAGATGAATTATATAAAAAGGAACCATTCACGAAAGATTCATTTTATTCAGCATTAACACAAGAAACAATATCCGATTCAGATTATCAAATATATCTCAATGATGCTAAAAACTTTAAGAATAGATTAGAATATTTTATTCATTATTGCAATAAAGATGTTGAAATTATGATTGACCCAATTGATAAAATTATCGAAGAAACATTTGTTTATAAAATTGATATGCTTCATAATCTTTCTTTATCATCGAATGCATCAATGATTCGTTACGCGTTAGCATATAAGAACTTCAATCCTAACGAAACATATCCAGAAGAAGAAAATGTGGAATCAAGTTTTGAATTAACGAAAAAGTATTGGAAATATAAAATTGAATCATATAAGAAACAAGATGAAAAAGCAGAAAGGGATACTAAAAATAATGTTTCAATGGATGATTTTCAATACTATCACGATTTAATCCTTTCATCTAAATGCAAAATGTGTGGTAAAGCGTTTACATATGCAAATAAACCAACATTGGATAGAATCGATAATGAAAAACCACATACCAAAGAAAATTGTCAGTTAATGTGTTGTTATTGCAATGTCGTAAAATCAAATAAAGATGAAGACATTCAACGTTTAAGAATCAATTTAAGAAATTACGCATTAAAAAATAATTTACCAATGACTTTAGATTCAGTTGAAGCTTATCACATTCTCCGTAATGGAATTACTGGTGGTCTATCAAATGTTCAACATCGTGTTAATCTTAAAGGAATCACGCACATTAATAAACTTTCATATAATCCAGAAACCAAAACTGTATCAAATGAGGACACCACCAACATTATGACTCATTTCGTTGGAGTTGACTTTAATTCATTATATCCTTCATCATTTTCATCTAATCCTCATGATTTCATTCAATATACTGACCATAAAATGTATATGCCGGGAAGATTGAATGGTGTTATTATTTGTGATACAGCAACAAAGAAAGCAAAAGCACTGGGAATTATTAGAAAGAAAAATACTTTATTCGTGGCTGAAGTAAAGGGTCACATTGATGAAAAATACATTAATGATTACATAAACTTTTTACCGATAATAAGAAACTTAGATATTATCACAGATGAAAAAACAATTGGCAGTTTTATGTATAATTACATGAAATCAAATAATCTACCAGTTGACCAGAAACAGAGAAAATTAACTCAATTAGCATCAACACACAACCAATATCAACCATTTTCTTCTTATTATCTTTGGTATCTAATAGACAGATTTCATTTTATCATCGATGATATTCAATCAATTTTAACATTTACGAAAAATACTTGTTTTAATGAATTTGCGAACAAATTTATGAACGAAAGACAAAAGGCTGAATTAGAAGGAAATAAAGGAAAAAGTTTATTTTGCAAGATTTCACTTAATGGATCATATGGTTACGATGCAATGAATACACAAAATTACGCAAAGACTAAAATAATGAATGCACAGAAGTCACGCGTTGCATGTATGTCAAATAAGTTTAAAAACATAAGAGAAATAGGTGAAGATACATATCAAGTGATGCTTAAAGATAGATTTTATAGATGTGATACATGTTTACAAGAGGCATTCTTCACTTTAGATAATGCTAAATACTGGTATTTAGTTTTCATTTATGATTTTATGTATAAATGCATGGATGTTAATCGTTTTCATTTCATTGAAGGTGATACTGATTCATCTTATTGGGCTATTGCTGGCGACTCAAATCTTCCTAACACTCAAGCATTTCAGGCGATTGTTACCGATAAAAAATTTTATGATAAAAACATTTTCAAATTCGCACCATTTGATTTCTTTTGTTTTGATGAGAAATTTAAACCTAAATTAAAGAATAAAGCTGATGAAAAAGCACATGAGAAGAAGTTATTGGGTTTAGCAATTGAGAAACAAGGTGATAACATGGTTGCTTTATGTCCTAAGTGTTATACATCATTCAACGGTTCAATTGATGGAAGTGATTTTAAAAAGATTGCACAAAAAATGAAGGGTGTTAGTTTAAGACAAAATAAACAATTAACACCTAAAAATTATTTGGATATAATAAATGATAAAGTGATATTTGATGGTCAGAATATTAATTTACAACTTAAAAATGGGTCAATGACTCGCTTAACAATCGGTAAGACTGCATTAACAGGAGCACACACTAAGGCTGTATGTTGTGAAAATGGATGTTGTATGCCATTTATTTAATACATTTATTTTATTTTTATATAAATGGATAACACAGATTTAAAAATTTTAATTGATGATTTAGTACTTAATCAAAAATTTCTTAGTTATTATGAATTAAAATCATATCTCCAAAAATATAATAACAATATAACGGGTGATGATATGGAATATTATTATCCGTATTATAAAAATGAAATTTTGAAATATCATAATAAAATAATTTCTAAAATTAAAGACAAAATTAAAAATAATGAATATACAAAGGGAAAAACTAAATCACAACTTAAACAATTGAAAGATTTCAAAAATAAAGTATTAACAGAAAAAGATATTGATGAATTATATAAATTATATAATCCTGAGCCACAAAAACAAAAGGAACAAAACACCCAGGTCCTTCAGACCATAAATGATGCACAAGCTTTAATTTATGATTCATTAGTTAAACCATATTCAGCCCGACTTTTAAATGAAGATCAACTTTTGGAATTCATCCTTCAACATAAACTCGAAGCGGGAAAGTATATCAAACCTTTATATACAGCATATTTAAAACAAATGAAAAGAATACATCCAGAATTAATGAAGGGGGGAATGAAATCCAAAATCAAAGCAGATAAAATTAAACCACTTGCAACACCAAAACCTCCTTCAGTTAATCCTTCATCATTCACTTTATTATATCCATTTCAAACATTAAAGAAGCAAAAAGATTTTAAAAAGGATTTCAAGATATTAAATAAACCAATTGACCCGAAAATTCAACCATTAAAAGAAAAATTTAGTCGCCCTTCATTTGCTCCATATCCATATTCATACGAAATCGATCATCTGGAATATTCAAAAGGAAATATTACTTATTTATTTGCCATTAACATTAACACTAGATATTTATATTGCATTCCGGTGAAAGGGAAAACAGAACAGGAAACAAGAAGAGCTATACAATACTTACTAGATCATGAAAGAGTAGATAATATCAGGGGTGATGGCGATAAAGGATTTCAGGCAGCTATGACTCATTATTTCCCACAAATTAATTTTTACTTCTCATCCTCTCCATATACGTTTCATAATAAAATAGTTGATGCGGTAATGAGAACTCTTAGAGATGCGTTAGGGGTTAACGGTCAGATATACTGGGATGGAAATCATGACTCCATCATACAGCAGTTAGTATATTATTATAATAATACATGGCATAGAACTATAAACATGAAACCGATGGAAATGAAAAATGATATTTCAAAAGAATGGGAATATATTAGAAAGCAAATGGAAAGGTTGAATGATGTTAAACGTGAACAAATTAATTCGGGGCTCATGAATTTTAAAACAAGGGATAAAGTTTTGATTCATCTCGATTATGGAAAAACTGATAAATCAATGACAAAAAGAAGACGAAGATTTGACACAATAGCTGAATTTGTTAGATATATTAACGGTAATGCATTAGTTGAAGTTGACAATAAATTAATAGAAATTCCGATTTATTTTATTACTCCATTATATTTAAATAATATTTAATTTTTTTTATTTCGTAAGAAATGAGTGACAACAAAGCAGTCAAGAGTCCAGACAATGAATATAAAAAGAAATAATCGAAAAATTAGAAACTTACCGTTCAATCCTTAAACTGAGTGAAGCAAAAATAAAAGAATTTAATTTTTATTCCTCTTCCGTCAATGGTTTCCCGAACCCTTCTGGGTTCTTCTTTCCATCATTACTGCATAACCACATTTTCTCAATTTTAGTGGTTTGTTATTTTTAGCAAGTTCTCGCATCATTTTTATCATTTCCTCCCTTGTTATGATTCGTGGTAAATTTTGAGCTTGTGGGGTATTCATTTATGATAAAAATAAAAATAAAAATTTGTTATCACTTATTTTATCGTTAAGTGACTCAAAGAGTCCGGAGACAAAGTCTCATGGTTTTAGGTTATTCAATAATTAATTATTTTTGAAGAACTGAAGGTGTCACCATGTCACCATGTGTCACCAGGTTAATTAACTTCTCTGAAAAAATGAGACAACATGACATTTTGACAACAACATAGGAAATAAATGTTTACGTATATGTTTTGTCATGACTTCATCGTAAATGTTTTGTCATGATTTCATCGTAAATGTTTTGTGAAGAATATAGCAACCGCCGGAATTCAGACGGTTGTTTTTTATACAAAATTCACGCAGGATTAATGAGGAAGGCAGTTATGAATTATTTTTGAAGAACTGAAGGTGTCACCATGTCACCATGTGTCACCAGGTTAATTAACTTCTCTGAAAAAATGAGACAACATGACATTTTGACAACAACATAGGAAATTTGATGTAGTCCAAAAATAAAGTTAGTTTTAAAATTATTTTTATTTTTTATTCCTATATAAATGACAGCAACAAACAACAACAGCAACTATATCGTTTCTGATGAAAAAGTTATTGATTCATTAACTGAGGAATTAGTTGTGGCAGAAACTAAAACCCTCAACGAAAGAATTGGTGAAAACAAGATTGATTTACATAACTACCTCAAACATGATGGAGGAAGAGGAAGGAAAACTGGTACAGCTTTATTAGTAAATAAAATTTCAAATTTAACGATTATAGATGTTGATATCAATAAATCGTACAATGATGAACTTAAAGAAACAGTTAGAAAAGATATTTTATCAAAACTTTCGGATAAAGATGTTATCGTTAAAACCGCTTCAGGAGGTCTTCACATTTATTGCAACACTAATTTCTTCTATTCAACCTCGAACAGAATGATTAAATGTTATTCCTGCAATGATTATGATATTGACATAATGACTTCAATGGATGATTCAAAGCGTTCATTAGTGGTTATGGCTGATTCAAGAGTTCGCAAGAATGCAACAGAACCAATCAAAACATACTCATTCATTCGTGGAAGTTATGATTCAACATTAACCAGAACAGTGAATGATATATTAAATGATTTGAATATTAAGGTAAGAGTTGAACAGAAGAACGAAGAAATAAAGACTATCATGAATGAAAACAAAGATGTAAACATTGACGATAAACTAGCTCAAAGCATAGTTGATGGCATCTGTGATTTTGAAGTACATAATGATGGTGGAAACATGAATTTAGAAAAAGAAATAACATTATTCACACTGTTTCAAGCAATTAATTCGTTACCTAATCATTTAATTAATGAAGCATACGATAACGTTTATAACTTCTGCAGCTTAACTGAAAATGCAAAAAGTAATTTTGAAAAAGCACGTAGTAGATATGCACATTTAATGACTTCTCCATTTGTTTTGGTGAAGATTCTAAAACTTTATCAAAAGGAATATTATGATGAATATGTTTTACCTTTATTACGTAAGCCAAAAATAACATTTGATATCAAACTTGATGACTCGTTTTTGATAACAGATATTAGACGCAAAGCTGAAAATCATCAGTATAAAAACAGTTCTGAAGTAATTGAGGATTTATCACGTGTAATCCGTTTTGTAGATTATGGAAACAAATACTTCATTCAGAAAGATTACAACATACACGACAAAATGAATCAAATATCATTCGTTCTTCAATCAAACATGAAAGAGTCACTTAAAATGATTAAATTATTTAAAGAAGAAGGTAAAACAATAACAGCATGGGACGTACTACTAAATCAATTGTCTTCATTAACCGTTAAGGGTGTTTGCTTTAAATCTGATTCCCCAGATGTTTTCTCAACGTTTCAGGGTTATAAATACAACATTCTTGAAAAGCCTGATTACTCAAAAATTGAGATGTTTATGAATTTCATTAAAGAAGCCATTTGTGATAATAACGATGAAGTGTATAAATACCTTCTCGGCTGGATTGCATCAATGATTCAACATCCTGGAATCAAGAATGAAACAGCAATTATTTTGAAAGGACTTCAGGGAACAGGTAAAAACAGATTTACAGACATTATTTCTGAACTCCTCGCTGGTTATTCATGTAAAAACATTACTGAAATAAGTGAGCTAACGGGTAATTTCAACTCAGTAGTTGAGAATAAAATGTTTCTTGTACTTAATGAACTCAAGAATGTTGGTGAAGACAGACTCGCAAACTTCAACGCTTTGAAATCAATTATAACGGATAATCAAATTAGAATTAATGAAAAGAATCAACCCAGAAGAACTGCTCAGAATGTTGCAAACTTCATTTTCGTAACTAATAACGTCTACCCTGTCAAAATTGAAGTTGGAGACAGAAGATATGTAGTTTTAAGGGTTAATGGTAAATTCAAAGGTCAATTTGATTACTTCAAGAATTTGATGAATTCATGCACAAAGGAATTTTATGATAACCTTTTAACATATTTTATCAATTACGACCTTTCATCATTTAATGTACGAATCATACCGATGACTGAAGCCAAACAAGATTTAATTGAATTATCAACAAATCCTTTAGATGTATGGATAAATACACATTATGATGAATTGTGTGCAGGTATGACATGTAAAAATGCTCTATTCTGCAAACCATCAGACATGAAAGACAAAAACTTTCAAATGAGCATTAAGGATAAATGTGATAGGAAACAGAGAAGAATAGATGGTAAACAAACATGGTGTTATGTTTTGAAAGAAGAAATGAAAGGATTATATAAACAAATTGAACCAAACGATAATGAGGAATCATTTACTGACGATGAAATACCTGTAAATGAGGCAGTATAAAGTATGATTGGAATTTATTTTTGCATTAATCCTGCTGTGTTGTCAAAATGTCATGTTGTCTCATTTTTTCAGAGAAGTTAATTAACCTGGTGACACATGGTGACATGGTGACACCTTCAATTCTTCAAAAATAATTCATAACTGCCTTCCTCCTGTGATGTCAAAATGTCATGAGTTAAATTACCTGGTGACACATGGTGACCTGGTGACCCCTTCAGTTATTCAAAAATAATTCATAACTACCTTCCTCCTGTGATGTTGTCAAAATGTCATGAGGTTAGAAATGAGGTTAGATCTAACCATCTACCCTAAAAATTATTTTTGGTCGTTTATGATAAAAATAAATGGTTCATTTACTCACAATATTTTTGTACAAAACGACCCCAAACTTTTAACTTCTTTTCTGCAGCTTCAAATGCTATCTTAGCGAGTTCATATTCTCTAAATTCTCTCTTTAAATCTTCTTGTTCCCATTGGTCTAGTTCGTATGAAGAATCTCTATAACCATAACATATCTCACGTTCATGTTCTAATTGTTTTTCGCACATTTTTCCAACTTCTTCTTCAAACAAAGGTTTAGCATTCTCTACTGTATCTTCAAGTTCTTCTTCATCTAATTTCTCATGAATTTTCTTGTCTATGGAGTCCATAATATCTTTGACATAAAATGCATACTTTACAGAGCACCATTCAGCAACAAAATGAACGAGGTTAGGATGTATGTAAATACCTTTGAATTCATTCATGACACCCTTTGTAAGCTCATAAAATGCTTGTTTTGAGGTCGAGCCACTTTTGGCTCCACCGTATTCGTTCATCCAAAACTCAAGAATTTCCTGCATTTTAGTACTATTGAGAAATCTGTTTAAATGGTTTAACCTTCCCGCTTCTCTTGCCATCTTTGTTGCATTTATATAACCATCCTTGTCTCTACGTAAGACTTCAATACCGTTATAAGTGCCTTTTGTGAATGTTTCACCATTAGATTTGTTCGTGAATGTTTTTGCTTCGACCGACATTACTGTTCTTACATACAAAATAAAAAAATAAATAAAAATAATTTTAAAACTAATGAAATTAATTATTTTTGGACTGAATTCATTGAACTCTATACCATGCGAATACAGTCATAAATGGTGGCATGTAATCTTTACTCTGTCCCGTTGTTTGTGTATATCCTGAAACATTATGTGTATGATTACCTGAACCCTGTGTATCGTTCCAGTAACAATTAATAGCAAATTTAACGTCATCTTTAACATCATATCCTTTACCTTTTATCATTCCTGACCAATCCCAATATCTATGCTTATGCCATCCTGCTTCAGTTGTGTTTAAATTAACGTAATGACTATGAGCAGGTAAATTTTCGCCCGTAATTGTTTTACTTCCTCCTGTTTGTTTTGATGAGTTAGCACAATATAAGAAACGATCGGTTATTTGTTGCCATGTACCAAAACCTAAAACACTTGCCGGATTTGTTGAGTTCATTGACGTATAAATAGAGCCTATAGGATATAATGTTTGAAGTATTTCTGTCTTTAATGTTTGAAGCTCTGTTTTGTCTGCTTTCTTGTCATATAAATCTTGAGCAGTGAATTTAATATTATGTTCATCCTTCATGACATAAACATCTTTACATCTAATGTTTCTCATCGTCGTTATGTCGTCATCCGATGTTAAACCTTGTGGAAAGTTAGGAGGTTTACAATATAGTGCATCCCCATCAGTTCCTTTAACCGTTCCTTCAATACTTTCTATACCAACAGTTGTGAAGAATTCATGTGTATGGTTCTTATCTGCTTTCTTATTTAACTCATCGTTAACATAAGTTTTGTCTGCTTTCTTCTTTAATCCATTATGAATATTGAATTTATTATATAATATTGAAACTGGGTAAGAAGTTAAAATTGGTATTGTCATCAATATTAACATATTATTTTTGAAAATTGCTTTTTTAACATCTTGAAATTTTGTGATTTCAGACCATTTTCTTCCATCACTACTGATATTTACTAAATCACCACATCCTAAAGCAATGAAATACCCATCAATATAAAATAAATTAGTAAATCTATAATTTCGAGTAAGTTTTGGAGTGAATGAATAAACCAATTCCCAATTTGATAAATCCCGTGATAAATAAATATGTCTGTTATAACTTACAGGATATGAATAGACCATTTCACCTGAAACGAGAACATAAACATTTGATCCATAACATAAAGCTTCGATGTCTCCATCAGCTTGAAAAATTTGTTCAAATTGACCTTGTGATATTGAAGATGATCTATAAATTTTATCATTTTGAAGGATAAAATACGTGTTGTTAATGTAATACCACTTACTTGTATAATCAATTTTCAAATCTGATGACATCATACTAAACATATAATAATTTATCCCATCCTCACTAATGAAAATTTGATTGACTTCATAAATGAGTACCCATTTATTATTAACACATCTAATAGGATTATTTGGATATTTAAATTTAGCATCTTGATTTAAATTACATTTGAACCATTGGATACAATCGAATGAATAACAAGGGCAAAAATCATCTCCAACCGTTATCATTCCCATAAATTTACCGTTATTATATTCAACATATAAAATTCTTGGATTAATGATTGGCTTTCGTGTATCAGGATTCAAAACAGATGGAGTAAATGATTTATAGTTTTTAAAATCATTTGTTTTAAAATAATAAAGCACTCCAGCTGTATAAAATAAATACATGGTCACTCCATCGAAACATATCCATTCAAAAGAATCTATATCAAAGGTTTTATCTGATGATTTCATAAAATTTAAAAATGGTGGAGTAAAATAGACCTCTGATTGTTTTATTTCTTCATTAACATATTCCTTATCTGCTTTCTTCATTAACTCACTATCCACATATTCCTTATCTGCTTTCTTCATTAACTCATCGTTAACATATGTTTTATCTGCTTTAAGGTCTAAACATCCCGAAACCCATCCTGTATCAGCTTTAGTTTTTAAAATCTTTGATGTCCGTTCATGATACCATTCAACCCTTTCTTTAATTTCATTATCTTTTTCGTTAACATATGTTTTATCTGCTTTCTTCATTATGTCATTTAGGAAACCTTTTATGAATTCCTCATTTAAATTAAATCTTCCAATCTTCAAAACTTTAGGAAATGCATTTAATGCGTAATATCTTTGTTCTTCTGGTGGAATTGATGTTATATCATCCGTTATACCTTTAATTTTTGAATTCATAAATAAAATTTCTTTTATATTTGATATCACTGCACCACCCTTGCAAACGAATTCGAAATGGTCATTTTTCAATACTATCTCCAAATCTCCATATTTCAACCTTTGCGTTTGTTCTGCCGTCTTTGAATTATATGCATATATGGCGTATGTAATGGTCTGAGGGACCTGGGTGGTTTGTGCCTTAAGTTGTTGTGGTTGCTGTTGTTTAATCATTTATTACGATTTAAAAATAAATATTTAATCCGTTATCTCATCAGCTATTTTCTCTATTTGAAAAGTCCATAATATTTCATTCATGAATTCTAAATCACAATCAAATAGGTCAGTTACTCTAAATTTAATATTTGATAAATCTTTTGAATGAAGAATAAATGAATTCCCGGATAATTGAAACGGATATGATAAAGAAAATGTGTTTAAGTTGATGGATAAAATGTTTTGAATTGATGGGTAAGAGTTAGGGTCTAATGTTTGATGTGAAAATCTCATTGGGGTATTAACTTTATCACATTTGATTAAAATGAAATTAGAACCAGTGTCAGAATACAAAACATCCCCAACATCTTTTTCAAAATTTAATATCCCCAACAATGAACGAAGATGAGGAGTACAAAATTTAATTTTCAGCGGAAATTTAATAAGGTTATTTATTTCATCAAGTTCAAAAAGTTTATCGGGTTTTGATTTAAAATTTTCTTCATACCATACGATAAATGATTCATTTAAATAACTTAAAATCATGTTAATATCCCATTTCGTTATCACATTATTTATATACATATCATACGTTTTTTCAAGGTCATCTTTAATAAATGATATATAATCCGAAGGGTCTAAAAGAATGGGATTAAATTTACCACTCACAGAAACGAGAGTAACATTATAAATTCCGCTAACTGTTAAATTTAATTCACAGTTATTATTCGAAATAATATTGATAATTGACATTTTTATTACGATTAAAAATATGGTAAAGCGTTATTTTCCAGTGATAAATAAAACTAGAATAAGATTACCTCAAGAATTCATAAATTCAACGAATAAGAAATTCATTCATGTTATAAATTTTAGTGTTTTCAGAAAATATGAGTCAATGTCATATTCATCATCGGGTTATATTTCACTTCATTCAAATTTAGTTCAATCAAACCCATATAATGACCATTTCATAAGATTTTCAGATGGTATTAAAAATGTAATTGATAGATTAAAAATATGAACAGATTGACAATATCGAATTTTTGGAATTTTGGTTTAAATATCCCGATGGAAAAAAGATTGAAGTTAAAGATAAAGCTGATACTATAACAAAAACAATTACAATGACCGATCCAGATAGTGGGGAACAAAAAGAAATAAAACAAACGATAGAAACTGGTGAAAGGTCAATTATTATTGATTATGATTCAAAGGATTATTATTCGATAATGTTAATGCTTGAATATTGACATAGTCCTCATATAGCCTTAACAAAGAATTTTTCAAGTGATATTTTATATTCATCAACTATTTTATTATAAATATCATTATATGTTAAATGAAGTTCAGTTGTTGTTCCGTTCTTTGATATCTTAATTGTGCTAATATCCTTTATAGGATTTATTTTTGCAACTGTTCCGCAGCATGAAACCTCATCATCTATGAAAAATTGAATCTTCACGTCTGAATCTTGAACATCACAAAGAATGGCGATAATGTGAATTAATGATTCATAAGGTAAAATAATTAAACCGGATTGATCAATTAAATTTATTATTGAATCATAATTATCAGTTATGATATCACGGTAAATTTTCATTAATTCAAAATTAATGTCTATTTTATATGGCGCATTGCGACTGAAATCGTAGATTCCTGGGTTCTCGATGTTTGATGAAAGAGGTGGGGGGTATGTTGGATAAGTGGGAATTTCAACGGGTTCTTTACCGGGTTCAGATAAAATGATTGGGTCTTCATTCTCCTCATTCTTCGGTAAGTCACGAGTTAATAAATTTGGTTGAGTTGCTGACCTTGTTAATTCAGGGCTAACATTAACTTTAACATTTTGAATAATTCGTGATTTATCATCATTTACGTTATAACCAACCGTAATCTCTGCTTTTGCGTTAGTGTTCTTTTGACTAGTGAAACGTCTTCTCATTTATAATTGAATAAAAAAAGAAAAATATATTTAAAGTTTTATTTAGTTGTTATGGTAATATCCCAAGGTTCATCCTTGTTTGCTTATACTTTCTTTGTAACTGCACCAATTATGTTATTGATAGTGCTTTGAGTTTCTTCCAGTCTTATTTTATCATTTACAATATCTTTAATCATTTCATTACATGCATTCTTAAAACCATCTGATTTTTCTAATTTACGTCTATCACTTTCTTTAATTAAATCAAAGTTATAACCTTGTTGAGAATAAAGTGGTTTCTTTATCAATTCCTTGAACGCTTCTGAAAGGAAGATGAAGAGAAATTCTTGCCACTTGAATTGGTTTTAAATTCTGCTTTCATTGCTTCTTTCTGTTCATTGAACACTGGATCGAATAAAGCAACTTTAAAGAATTTCTTAGCTGGAATTTCAGGTCTCAAATTTGCATATTGACCATCAAACTGATTAACATATCGTGGTAATCCATCCGGTCCCTCTTCAATAGCATTTAATTCTTCATTGAAATAAGAATATGGATTATGACGGTATGAATTAATTGGACCATTTTCACCTTCTCCAATGTATTGTTTAACAGCTTTTCCATTTTCATCAAATTGCATAGGATAACGTTCATTATATGCTTTACGTTTAGGATAATCAGATTGTTAATTTATAACCATTTATGACTTTAATATTACCTTGACCATCAGTAACGAAAACTTCATTTATACCATCAGGTTTTCCATTTGGACCTGTAATGTCTGCTTCGTGTGCTTCCCAATTTGGACCATGACGTTTGGCATATGCTTGAGCTTCTGGTAATGTTAAAACGTTTCTCATTTGTTTAACATCCTTTTGAAGACCGCAACAATATGACTAATTCTTTCATTCCGTCTGGAACTTTCATAGTTCTATTATATGCACCCTTTTTGTTTGTCCCTTGTTTTAATGGAACCTGTAGAAGATTTGCTATTTCTGTCATGTTTAATTATAAATAAAAAATAAAAATTAATTATAAAAAGTTAATCAAATTTAACACCTCCTTTATTTAAATCAACTATTATTTTTCCATGTTCACCTAATTGTTGATATTGTGTGTAAAGTTCATTAATGCTCATTGGTAAATTCACTTGATAAAGCATAACGTTCAACTGTTGACGACTAAAACCACTGAAAATGAAAAGGTTGATAGATTTGATTTAATGTTTGTGCTTAATGCTTTGAAGTATTGAACAGCCATAAAGAATGAACACTGAATGTGTCGACATTGAGTTAATAACTGATTAAAATATGATTTCTCATTAGTTATTAGTTTTGATTTCACGGCATCATCTAGAAAAATTAGTGAATGCAAAAATTCTTTATCAAAATTTGAAATAGAAAGTGTTTCAAATAATTCATCCCTTTGTTTATCAATAATTTTATCCTCTAATCCTTGCTTCTTGATTGTATTATATAATTCTTTATACATTAAAAAGTTTTTTAAATAATCTTCTGCTTCTTCTTGTGATAAATAAATAATTGGAATTTTGATTAAATGCTTTAAAGATTCAAATGTATCATCTGAAGGTGAACCTGAACGGTTGATATAAATTAACACATGTGAATAGGGGGAAGTGTTAGCAATAATGATAATTTGTTTTAATATCGTTAATGTTTTACCTTTATTTTGTTTACCAATTGCTGCAGTGATTGAATTTAAGTAACATTCAGAATATGGAATTTTCATTAATTTTTCCTTAGATAGAGCATTTCTATTATCACTCAATGCTTCATTAATCATATCATCTATGTATGTATTATATACTCCTGCTAATTCTTCAGAATTGAAATCCATTTAATCAAAAATAAATTTATAATTTTAAACATTTCTATTCATCAATATTTCATCATATGAACTTCTATACTGTGGTGGTGTACCTGTTGGATGATATTTCAAACCTTCGTCCGGTGTCCATGTCCAATACGTAGTCCTAGTAAACCAAACCTGAGGAGGATTTGTCACCTTTGAACAGTAAGTGTCATTTTCACCCTGAATGATTGGATAAGCTTTCACTTGTACTGTAACTTGTGAGTTGAAAGTTTCTAATCCATCAAAGAATATACCCGCTCCATCACGTTGAACTGGAATAGTGCATAAGAATGAAGTTTGGTCTTTCCATGTTCTAGCTAATGGCTGCCATCATCATCATTCAGTGGTCTAGTTAATGAGTCCTCGTATTCTTCTGTGCATTCATTCACTCCATCTAAATCAGAAGCTTGAAGCATACGTGTAAAGAATATGTCACCCACTGTGGTCATCGCTTGATCGGGGAAGTTTCTGGAATCTATAGTGACCTGAAGACCTCGAAGCATTGGATTTTCTAAAATGTTCTTTGCATTGCATTCTTCGGAAATGTTAACACAACATCTGTAACATTATGAAGAGCGTATGAGAAATCCGAGCTAATACCTTCAGGAGTGATGCAACCTCCATTTAGTGAACGAACGTCAATATGTTGAGCTGGAATCATGAATGGATCTTCCTTACTGAATAAACGTGGTATTGCTTTACCTGATTCTTCAATTAAACCGTATCCTGGTGTAATGCATTTATCCTCTAAAACTTCCATCTTTGTGCATGAAATAATAACGCTATCAACTGTTGCGTCAGCAGATGTAGCGGCTAAGCTTGTAATTAATTTTGCAGGAAGTCCGATTTGTTGGAATTTGCGATCATATTTATAAACATGATTCATAATCTTTTCATAATTTTCATCAGTTATCTTTTCATAAACGTAATTTTGTAAATCAGCAACTCTTAACGGGTCAACCTGACAAAATACTAAAGTATCCCTGAAAACATAATATTTAAGAATGATTTCACCAAATGATTTAGGATAATCATCGAACGCCTGAAATGCTAACAAATCATTTACCGGAATAATCATATCAAAAGTGACATCAACTTCTTCATTTGCATTCTTGAAAACTTCTGAAGGGTCAATATATTTACCACATACTGAGTTATCATATTTTTGAACATTATTATATAACGAATGAACAAACTTTTTAACTTTCCTTTCTGATTTTGGTTTATATGTTGCAAATGCGAAAGATTCACGGGCGCAATCCATCTGAAGATAACCGGCATCACCTCTTTCGGTTTCTACTTCTAATTGTTTAAAGCTTTGATTTGATGATTTGTAACCAACGAATAAACGCATGCATTTAAAAGCGGCATCACATGTGAAAGCTTTATTTGAAACTAGAGTTGCTTTAACTTTGCGTTTAATATATGTGTCACCTAATTGGTTCACATCATGAGCCGGATTTGTAATTCTTAAATGAGTTTGTTTATCATCAAAATATGGAGTATCAGAGTCATAGCATGAACTTTCAAGTTCTCTATAATATCTTCTACCGTCATTCTTTGCGAATATTTCATTTATCTTTTCGAATGAATGAAATACATTTCCATTAATTGGTTTAGTGTTTGGCACCAAATAGTTAGTCGTCATTTATGATGAAATAAAAAAATCAAAATTAAAAGATGAAAATGAATTTTTAATTTTAATGAAATAATCAACTATGGCTGCAGGATTCTTTAAAAAATTATGGGATAAAGTAAAAAGAGGAGCGCATAAAGTTTGGGAAACAATGAAGAAGGGAGCAAATTGGATATTTAAGAATAAAGAAGCAATTAGTGACGTTGCAGAACAAATAGCACCTAATGTTCCGGTAAGAGAAATATTAAATAAAGGAGATAAAGTTTATCGTCGACTACAACCGATACTAAGATAAAAATAATATTTATTTTTCCACTACTTTCCTCCTATTTTATTAAGTATTCCTTCAGCAATTCCACCAACTGCGTTACCTGCTTGTGCTCCCATCGCTGGATTACCTGCTTTAGCACCTAATACTCCACCTATGATAGTTCCTGCCGTTTTCGCTACTGGTGCCAAAAAGTTTGCAACGGGTTTTATTATTTTCTGATGAACCCAACTTGCTGCTTTCTTAATTCCTTCCCATAATTTTTTAAAGAATCCTGCTGCCATTTCTGATTTAATATTAATTAAAAATTCATTTTCATCACATATATTCTAATTTTTAATTAATGATAAATGAAACCAATATTAAAAATAAATGAAACAGAGAAGGAAGAAATAAATGAAAGTGAAAATGTTCAACAAAAAATAAACGTTGTTAAACCAATTACTGAAATAAAAATTTTTTCATCTGTTGAAGAATTTAATGACTATTATGCTAATAATAAAAAATTATTTGAAGAATTGACAACATGTAAATTGAATAAAATGTTTAAAGTTGATGGATTCAAAATTTCAAAAATAAAAGGTGTTGTTAGTTTAAAATCTATTCCTCAATCAAGAATCACCTCATTAATGAAAATTGATGATTTAACAAAAAGAATAGGAATTATTGAAGAAAGAATGAATCAAATAATTGATTTCATAAATCATAACTCGTTGTGCCCGGGTCCTTAAAGTCCATCACTGAGTTCAAGGTTATATTCATCAAATATTTCATTATTAAATGCAACTTCTGCTAGTTTATTTATTTTTTCAATACGATCATTTGAAAGTCTATCGTTTAATTTTTTCTGAAGTTTTTTATTTTCTAGTTCTGAAACTTTATTTGGATGATATGTAAATTCATGAAATTCTTTGGCCTCGGTTTTGATCATTAATTTACAAAGAACTTTTGTGGTTGGAATTCGTTTGAACCATTTATCCTTAATATTTGTTATAAATTCAATATCTGGAATTAATTCCCAAATTTTTACATTTTCAATTAATTTATTATCAAATGCAAAAGCAATGGGTTTAATATTATGTTTACCTTTATAATATAAACTTTCTACACAATCATCGAAATAAACATCTACTTGTTTAACATTTTCAAGAATTGGTGAAAGAGCATCCATTAATTGATTGACGGTTACGAATCTTGATCCACTCATTTTCTTACGAATTAAAAAAAATAAATTATTCATAAATGTAAGACATGAATTTTTAAAGTTTATTTTTTATTTCATTATGATAGTGAATCTTTCATTCATTATGATAATTATTTCTAATTTCTTTTACTCTCTCGTACATACTAGATTTAAAGAATTCAGAACATTTCCCATAATCTCCTAAATGTTTTCTTATCCCTAACGTGTGCCAGTTATTATATGAAACTGAATAAACTTTATCTTTATCTTTACACCTTTCATCACTTCCAATATATTTATATCTCAGTTTTGATTTAGCATTTTCATATTCATTAGCGTTTAATAATTCACAGTCTTCCTTTTTAAATTGATGTTTAAGATATTCAGGATTTAATACTCTACGTTTATATGCTCCTAACTTAGTTCTAAAGGTTTTTCTACAAAATTTAGGAATTCCATCCTCTTTAATTTCATCAATGATTTCCATTTCATTATTTTCAATTTCTTCTTCTCGTTTATGAGGTCTTTGATTATGACTCCATTGATTCCATGAAATTAAATATTCTTTATCATTATATTTATACCTCATTAGCTTATTTTGGCTTTCATATTCATTTAATAATTCACAATCTTCATTTTTAAATTGAAGTTTAACCCATTCAGGATTTAAACAATGTTTAATTAATCGCGGAATATCTGACATCATCTATATATAGCTTCTTTTATAAAAGATAAAAAAATAAATTATTTTAAAATTAATGTTAATTTTTTAATGATTTATAAATAAATATATTTTAATGCATCGTCTATATATAGATGTAACAAAAAAAGTCACTAAACCCGCACTTATCTACTACTTCGTCGGGCAACTGAGGAAACTGAGTGAAGTTTACAACTATCGTCATTTCGGGAAACTGAGGAAATCATAGTTAAAATAATCGTCGGGCAACTGAGGAAACTGAGTGAAGTTTACAACTATCGTCATTTCGGGAAACTGAGGAAATCATAGTTAAAATAATCGTCGGGCAACTGAGGAAACTGAACAATGTTTACAATAATCGTCGGGCAACTGAGGAAACTATCGCTCTTTTTCCTAAAATTATCGGGAAACTGAGGGCAACTGATAATAACTTTATATCTATTTGCAACTCAATCAACATTCACATAAAAATTACAAGTTTTATTTCATCCCCACATCATAATAATGTTTGTTTCTTAATATCTTAAAAAATTTCAAAATCTTATATTTTGAATAATTAGCATTTATCGTAGATTTCTGTTTAAACATAATTATCAATCATGATTTCAATCAAATTTTTTTGCTATGATATTCTTTATCTTGGGAATTCGAAATTGAGCTTGTTTCATTTCTTATCTACTCAAATATTAGAGTTATTCTAAAATCTAATATTAAATATATAGTTATAAGTGCTATTATATACTAATATCAAATTAGAATTTAAATATCAAGAAAAAATAGAATAAATAATCGTCGCTCAGTTGCCCAAAAGGGCTCTCAATTTTTGCAAAAGTGACACAATTTTTTCATCAAAACTCTGCGAATATTTATTATAATTTAAATTTTATTTAAACAATAATCTAAAATATAGTAATAGATAATATTTGTTTAAACATATTAATAAAAAATCTAATATTCACAGAGAAAAAGTGCTCAGTTTCCCTCAGTTCCCCAAAAAAAAGATCTCCTTTTTTTTGGAAGTCAAATTTGAATCAAGGTTAGAATGATTAATTTAATTCTTATCAAATGGAGAAGAAATTCTTTTTCAAAATAAAAATCCTCTAATCGTTTTGAATTGTTTCTCAAGAAAAACAATTAAAGAAAATATCTCAGTTGATTGATCAAGCTATGGAGGAACAAAAACAGAATATTGTTCCCAATAACGAACAGGATCAATCACGACCAAAAAAAGATAGTGGAAAAGAACTTCCACCGATAAATTTGTTTGATTATTCGAAAAATGATGAAATCAATGGAACTTTATTATCACCAAATACTAGATCTCATTCATTTAGCAATTTCTATGTCAAAGAGAAGGCAAATGCACCAATTCCACCTTCAACTCCATCTCTTTATCCAAGAAAGTCGCAACAGCAACGAAAAGAAATCATAAAACAAAAAACATCATTTGTAAGTCTTTTAAAACAAGATAAATCTCAATGCTCTGATTCAGAAATATTAATTGCACATGATCTCAAAATAAATCCTCCATGCCCACCACCTCCTGTATCTTCGGATACTGGACATCCAAAAGTTAGAAGATTTCGTGGAAAATTATCTGAAAATTCCGATAATGAAAAACCCAACGAAAATCAAGCTCCAAACAATAAAGAAACAAATAATCTATCAAATAATTCACAAGCACAGAACAATTCAACTAAAAATTTAGCAAAACAACAAAATCTTTTAAATCAAGCAGAAAAGCAAGAAAAATCATCAGATCCAGATACACGTACAGTAAATTCTGACTCAAATTTTCAAAATCAGAATGAAATCTCAACATCTATTCCTAATACTGAGCAAAATCAAATAAATTCGCAAAAAATTCCTTTACAAAATGATACAGATAATAATGATACAGAGAATTTTCAAAATAACGAACATGTTCAAGATGAAAACGATATTTCTGAGAAAGAAGCAACAAAAAAGCTCAAAATAGACACTACCGTTGTTGGTACTCTAAGGATACAAGGAAACAACTCGTTCGAAATCCTCAGAGATTTGTCTCCAAAGCCACCGAGTTCCAAATCAGCTTCTGACAGTGATGGATCGGGAAATGAGTCAACAAACTCTCCACCCAAGCGTAAACCGCGTACAAAACTTAAAAAGAAAGTTCCTTCGAAAGATGATTTACTTGAATCTGACGAAAAAACGCCAAAAAAGAAGAAAATTAAGATAATTAAGTCTGCAATATCAGAAGAGGATCATAATAATGAAGACCTTCTAGCAAGAATTTCGATTCTAGAAGCAGAATTACAAAAAGAAAGGTCTTCTGAACGAATTGAGAAGTTAGAAAGCGTAATCACAGAACTCAAACTTGAGAATACAGAATTGCAAAACGAAAATAGCTTATTAAATAGAGTTTTGGCAAAATCCAGAAAAAGATTTGAAGATTTGTTGAAAAATTCTCCTTCATTGACCACAGAGATCCGAAGAAGAGAAAATGCAGAGGCTAAGCTCGAGGAAGCTTACCTAACAATTGCAGAACTCCAAACAAATTTGCAATCCAAAGAAAATGAGCTTGAAACATACAGAGCAATCAAGAGAAAACCAATACAGCAGCAACAATTAGCTACACAATCAACAGAAGTTGTTTGTAAAACAGTTCCAAACTCAGAAGAAATTATATCTCAAAAAATTGAAGAAAACAAAGACTTCAACCTTCTCGACATCATCGACAAAGATGAACAGATATCAAATGAACTCAAAAACATCATCGATTCCCATGCCGACGATTATTGTTCCGATGATTCTTATTCTTACAGCGATTCCGATGATGAAATCAACTACGGCCATGTTTCTGGTTTGCTTGACAAGTTTGTTGCCGAAAGAGACAACTTTTCCTTCCTTGTTGACAAAGAAAGAAAAAGGAGAATTTTGTTACGACAAAAAGTCGACGAATTGACAGAACTATTAAATGCTTCGGAAAGGAACGAAATTGAGAGACGAACAGCAGAGAGTAGGCTCAGCCAGACACACGAGAGATTGTCTGTTGTTGAGCAGCAGATAAAGAGATTGCAAAAGGAAAATGACGCATTGAGATTTTACGTCGATTCAAGGACTACTTTCTCTGCGAATTCTCAAGTCATTAAACTGCTGAGAGAGATTTTCCATCTTAAGGCTGAAAATAGAAAGCTGAGACCAAGAAAACCTCTTTATGTTCCACCTCAGAGAACAAAACAGGAAAGACAACAGCAGGAGGAAGTTGTTGTTATTTTCGGTGATCAGAGAAATATAAAGAAAGTTCCTCCAATAGAATAAAGAATATTTTTTTGTTTGTATTGTTAAATAATGATACTATTTAATTTTCCGCCGTGATAGCTACCCAAATTTGCTATTTTTAGATTACATTAGTAGGGTGTCGGAAAATAATTGAGAAAATTTTACATGGCATTTGCTGGCAAATGCCATGTAAAACTCTCAAAAGTGTGATCCTTCTCCCTGAAAAAAACGGCAAAAGTAAATCCCCGAATCTCCGGAGATTCTTCCAGGTATTTATTTTTGACTTTTAATATTCTATATGCTATATCTTTTATCATATAACATATATAGAGAAATGAGTCAATGATAGTCAATTTGAAAATCCCAAAGAATTTCTTTCATATTCATGAATTAATTATATATTATAATATTGCGAATAATGTAGGTCCTGTATTTACTATTAGATTTGTTCTTATTCATATTTCCCATACATGCTAATAATATCAGATGATATTTTATAATGTATCCGCTTAAAAATCACAAATATATTCAAAATTAATGGGAAAACGGCAAAATTTTAAATAATTAAAAAATACTAATAAAGGGTGTGAATATCAAAAATCTGGCGGAGCTGATAAAAATTCCTAAAAATCGCCAATTAAGGAGATTATTGGCGGTGATTCTTTTTATTTCGGAGATTTTGGACAAGCTTAAATATACCTTTTTTAAAATAGATTTGCAATGAAAATATTTTGAAGTGGCTTGTATTTTTGTTATGAAGTCAACCTTTATGGCAACATTGTTTTCCATTTATAAATCCCATTATTTGATTTAAGTTACTAGAATGTGTAATATATAAAATATATTCGAAAATTCAAACAAATCATTACAAATTTTATTCAAACAAAATTTCTATCATATAAACACAAAATGAAACAGATCAAGAACCAGTTATATTTGCAACTTTGAATCCAAGGTTTCTGTATTCATACTTCAGTTCTTCGTCAATGAAGTAGTCGACATAAATATGATCAACTAAGTTTTTGGGACATTGCTCTTGATGCCAAACATTGAAGAATTGGTGCAAATTATCTGTATTTCCCCACTTCTTGTTCTGAACAGCGTAAACAACCTGTTTCGTGTGTCTTATTACTCTTGGAATGTCTACTTTATATCCGGTCCTGCCATTATGGTCGAAATCCTTGAAGAACACACCAGCCATGAAGAACTCACTAATAATAGCAAGTTGTAACTGTTCAATGAACAAATTGTCAGGAAATATATTTAATATTCCTGCATTTCTGTGCATAAACACACTATTAAATAACTGCGAGCCACCTACAGTCACTAGAACTTTGATTGATGCCCATACTTTCATTATATGAAGAAGTTCTCCTTTGTTATCAAATTTCTCCCACTTTTGACCTTCATCTATCGGAACTTCCTTGTTCAAAGTATCTACTAATTCATCATAGTTCGAAAGGAATCGCATATCTTCTCTATTTAGCACAATAAATTTCGTCATCGGAATTTGATCAAATTTTTGGTTATCTATAAGCCTCTGCCTTATCATTTGGAGTCCGCCAGTCATAGCTCTGTGCGCATCTGACATTTCGTTAACAACGTAGAGGTGGCGGAAGAAGCATTGCTTGTTTGTATATCCATCAAAGACAATTGCACTGATATTGAGTAGTTTGAGCCAATCTCTGACACAATGACCACCTGCCCATGGACCGTGAATGGCAAATCCTTGGTCAAATACTTCCTGAGGCAAGTACATGAGTGACGACAGATAATCTACTATCAGGTGGCCCCATTGGTGATAAAAATCATGCACCCAGACACCAATATCGTATGTTCCTATAACTTCACGGGTTGATGGCTTGGCGTAGCTGTAAGGAGGCCTCATTGAAAAACCAAATTGATTTGTCATTGGGTCGTATGAAGAATAGACATTGTCATAAATTCCGACATATACCAATGATCTTGTAACAAAACAATATTCGGTCTTGAGGTCGTTTACTCTGTCTGATGATAATAAAGCATAGTTAAGCATCCAATACGGTATCTTCCTTGTGTATCGAATAAGCATATTTGAAGGAATTTGATAAAATGGAAGTGATGAATTTGGTTTTGGATTCGGATAATAGAAATTTTGCCAAATACTAACTTTCATATATGGTGTCTCCTCTTTCTTTTGGAACAGTAGACACGAAATTATTACAAATATGAAACTCAAACAACTATCACCGAGAATCTTCGATTTAAATTTCATATTTGAAAGTAAGACAAGATATAAGGGGGGGGTCACACCCATATTTTAGTTTTTAGTCGTTATTTCAATATTGACCATATATACAGCATATACATGTTGATTAAATTTATTTTATGCGGTCAAAATTCGCTCAAATCAAATCTATTTAGAATTGTATCAATTCAGATCATATCCAGATAGATACAAGCTAAGATTCTTCAACTTTTTGCTAAATAACTTATTGTTATCTTAATTATTCCCAAAGGCTGTTCAAATTCCCTCCATTTCTTAATATTAAGGCACTAGATTTGGATGTCTATGGAAGAATTCAGTTTAAACACGATAAACTCAAATCTTAAATTCATATTCTAATAGAAAAACATGAAGATATCATTTTTTTGGTTCAATAACAGCGATATTTTTTCAGGATCCACATCATTCATAACAACCATAATACAATTATTTATAACCATTAATATTTTGGCTGCTAAATAAATGGGATGTAATAAAATGACTGCAAATCGATTTTTTTTTATTGAGAGAGAACGATGGCTGACATGTGATATGACATCCATCAATGAATGAAATCTTGGATCGAAATTTTTCCTCAGGAGAGCTTTCAAAATACGGAAGATTACCCGTATCTGAACGTGAAGCGCATGCAGTCCGTGAATTGTGCTTTTTCAACTCAGTTCCTGCAATATTTTACTTACAATCGTTAAATCCCGCATCTTCAAAATATATTCTAGAGTCCCTCTCAACTTCAGTTCCTCCATTCTTGTATTCCCCACAAGACTCTGGCCATAATAACATGAATTTTCAACATTTTGTAAATTGCATTGCCAGATTTTTCGATTTTGAAGTTAATTGCGACTTAAAACTGTTATTCCTTCAAGCTATACGAGCATTGCATCCAAATTTTGAGCTAATTATCGATTATATCAAAACGCAAAAGTCAGATAAAGAACAACAACTTGCCCAGCTCTTACTCCAACTATTTAGACATGCACCACCACTGTTCAATGCAATACGACAAGATGTTTTGAAAATTTTGGATGTTTTCGACAAAAATGTTCTTTTTCAAGCGATTGGCTACGACATTTTTGACTTCTTAGGCCTTAACATATATCGCACAGAAGCAATACCTTTCACCGACATGGAAAGCGCAGAAAAACTATTTGGCAAATCGTTCGTATTTTCAAATCCCGAAATTATTCAGCGGCTACAGCAATATATTTTCACGAGATATCCATTTCCTACTACAACCATTTTTGGTGGTGGCAGTAAATTGGGCGCTTTATTTAACACTGCCGCTGCAACGAATCAGCACATTATAGATTTAACTCTTCTTAACTCTCTGAAGCAATACGACCTAGAGAATGATGAAGCAGGTACATCCTACTTGACGTTGTTCCCTGATTTGAAGGCAATTGCCCTTATTGGCTGCATGCATAAAAGAATGCAGAATACTTCATGGATTATCAACAAAATAAACTCTCTTACAACAACACCAAAGAACATATTTGGCGAATTTATGGAAAGACTTAAAAATGACTTCGAATTGATTACAAAAATCAAACAATCAACAGGAGTGAACGTTTCCTTGGCCAATCTTTCCGAAAATTCTTTACCTTACAATTTACGTATCGCTCTGGACAACTTTAACGGCGAAATTTTCCAAGAAACGCGGAATGTTAAGTATTTCACCATAAACGACCAAGATTCCACCGCAGATTTTGATTTTGTCTGCGCCTACTTCGCTGTCGGATACGCCGTTCAGTACTTTTCTCATCAAACAGACGACAAAATCAAAATCATTGACTCATCCATCCGAAATATCGAGTCACAGAGCGTTTTGCAAGCCGTCATTGTTGATATCTTCTCACTCATATTCCTGGAGAAGATCGGGTTCTGCTCCAATCCCTCCGCCGCCGAAAAAATAATTCCATTGCTTCTCGAACTGACGACATCCAACGAGCTGTCCGAGCACTTACGCAACGCACACCGCCGCATTCTTATCTCCAACCTCCTTGACCAGACGAACACGATGGACTGCGCGATGGCGTCGATTCAGTCGATGCTCGACCGCGCCCTGCTGAAGAAGGACTGGCAGATCGCTGAGCAGATAGCGCACTTGTACTCCAAGTCCGTCGACTTCTTCGAGATATACAGGGACACAGTGACAAAGGCAGCAGTAGAAGGAAATCCGCATAGAGATCTGATTTTGTTGGAAAAAGTGCTGACAAAAGACGAATCTCAGCTGTTCCAGTCAATAGATGGAAATAATGTCCCACAAAATGCTTACAAAATAGCAAAACAAAGACTTGAAAATGAACCTTTGGAATTATTCAAGCCAACTGCGGCCATTAACGCAATAAATAACAAACTATCAAGACTAACAGCCGTTTCATGGCCAGTTACAGAGCTAAACAGCTTTTTAAGAATGTCAGAAAAATTAAGTTCATTTATTGCGTACTTAGACCATTTATTACCCCAGCTCTTTGCTTCCCACCCTAATAAAACTATAGGAGAGATACTGGAATTCAATCCCCATCGAATTTTGTCCAATTTATTACACGAAGGGTTAATTGAACAGGCAAAAGGTATCGCAAAGCTAATAAATATGGATATAACAGAAGCTGTTTTACTTTACATGAGCGATAACATACAAGAAGCCATTCCTTACCTCTCAGATTATCCAATTGTTCAAATTGGAGGAATGATTTTCAATAATTTACATCCGGATGTAATGTATTCAATTTCTGTTGGCCGGTATATTGATAGAATTGATGCACAAAAGGAAAATCCAGTTGTTTTGGATTCAGATGAAAATTGTCAGACAGGAATCTCCCAGGAGAAGCTGGAATCGATGCTGAAGATTGCTTTGGAGGCAAATCCAATTGATTCTGATACAGTTATCGATGTTTCTTTCAGATTAAACTACGAAAAGTTCAAAAACACAATTTTAGAAATAATTGAGAAGGTAGATTTGGTCAAACTGAGAGATACTTTACAAAACTGCTACTGCGGAGACGAATTATTCGACAGAGTCAACATTCTTGCAAAAGTTTCTGGAATTTGCAACCCATATCCACTTAAAACGAGTCTTTCCAAACTCCTTAAGGACAATGAATACAATATTGCCGCAGAATTCATAACAGTTTTCAGATATGAAATGAATACTATCAATATCTTGAGAGAAGAAGCACTGAATCTGCTCCACAAGAACGAATCCATAGACAGAATACTTGATCTCGTACCAGCACTCAAGACAGAGATCATTTCGTCGCTTCCACAAAGATATCAAACTTCAATCTTGCAAGGAGCTGAGAAATTCTTCTCGAGTATACCAAAAACATGGAAGATAGAGCAAGATCCGGCAATTACAGCCAGATCCAACATAGAACAACCAGAATTTACTCAAATTATGCAACAATTTACAAATATTGACTGCTCAAAGGACTTAATCTCATATATAACATCAAAACTCGCACCTACAGATATCCCAATCGTGTACAAACTGCAAATGTTGGCTGATTTTGTCAAGAAATACGGACCTTGTTTCAAACAGCCATCAACGCTTGCAAAGTTTGTAGGGAAAAATATTTCGTCGTATGTTGACTCGCTAAACATCGACCAGCCGATGATTGAAGAATCTGCTCTGAAAACGTTGAACAAAGCAGTGCAAAAGATCACAGAGATACGACAGGTATTCCAGGAAATGAACTCTGTTGAGCCTGCAATCAATGATTTGCAAAGAAGAGTAACTTGTCTGCGAAAATTTATCAATTGTAACCTTTGTAACAAGTATGGAGTCGAATACTCGTTCAATGAGTTCCTTTCTAATGATTGCGGAAGTAATCTGATCAGACTTTGCTTGAAATTTGACGAATTTGAATTATCATCTCAAATTTCTTCGGTCTGGAACATCGAATGCAACGAAATCAAGGATAATTATGCCCAGAAAGTTATAGATCTTGGCTTATTTGATGAAGCACTTCGCCTGGCTGTTGACAGAAGAAAAAAGAAATCTCAGAACACCTCTTTCATCGTCCAAACGATGGTCCAGCACGTCCAATTCAATTCCTGGGTAGACAGAGCCCTTGTGAGCGAAATTGTTACCACAGGAATCCCTCCAGACATCGAGATATTCATGGATGAATTTTTACAGCAGGATCTGATCAAAAATTCTGCGGTTTTCCAAAACGTAAAATTCGAATCGTTTAAATCTACGGAGTCATTCGATGTAAGAGCGCGGAAGAGAAATCCAGAACGCGTCATAAATTCTCCGATTTTACAAAGGAACATGTCAAATTTCGATTTGATGCAGAAACACTCACTGCAGCAATCATCATCCTCGATACTCAACGACATTGACATAATTCCTCACTTTTTGTACAGATTAATCGGAATTTCGAATGCAGTTGTTGAAACAACTCCTCCACCAGAGGCCCTGTCAGCACTGGGCACATACCTCAAAGACAAAGCACCTCCTAGCGAGCGCTGCATCTATTTAGTCAAAAGAAGGTCGTTTATGATTCCTTTCCAGTTGATTGAGACGCAGAGGGACCTCCAGTCGAAGTGGAACTTGTTCTTCAACGCCATATTCATACCCGCACTCTCGTTCAGATCACTGGACATGCTCAAAGACTCAATGAAACAAAATGATCCTTCTCTCAAAAAATTCAATAACCTTCTCAAAAAGTTACTTGAAATTTCTAAACAAAGGAAACTCAGCCAACTGAGCTTCGACATAGAATTGCTTCTCGGAAGAACTGAAGCATCATTATACACGGCACAGGAACTTTTTGCATCAGCGGAAACAACGAAAGAAACAATCAGATGTCTGGACATGATCGAGAGGAGTTTGTCAACGATGGTTATGCCAGAAGTCAAGTATCTCGTGGAGGGAGTCCATCTGCAGAAGAAGTTCTGCGAGATATGCGTTGAAAAGGGAATAAATGACTGCAGAGCATTGAACATTTTCGGTGGAAATGAAGCAAAAATTTCTGTCGCGTCTTTTCTACTGAAAGACTCCAAATTCGAACTCGGAATGAGCATAATAGACTACACACAGATAAGTATGAGAAGTGTAGCTGAAAGATTATGCGATATGCTAGTCAATGAACATGAAGAAACAATTATCGAATTTTTAAATGAATTTGAGAAAAAAGTGACACAAAAATTTTTCAGTGAATTTATTTCACCGATATTGATGAGAACTGTTTACATGCACATGAACTCTCCGTTAGGATTAGTGATGATAAAGACACTTCAGGATGCAAATTTAAGAACTTTGCTTCTGATTCAATTTGGATGGACATTGGAGGCTTTCAATGATGCAAAGGCAACAAAGAATTATGATGTGATGCCTTTGATAGCTAAGGAAGCTTACCAGAAAGAACAACAAGCAATTGTTGACGAAGCAATGAAAATTCTTTCAAAAATCAAATAATGTAATTTAAATCTTTTTTATACTATTTTCTATTGAATTAATTAAGTGTTTTTCTCTTATTTAAATAGTACCTCCTTTACTTTGTGTAATAAATTTTATGGATTCATAAGAGTTTTATGAATAATCATGGATATTGTTTGAAAATTATAAATAAAACCTGGGACTAGTAAGACGACTCTTTTTTTCCAAATTTATTTCTTATACAATTATTTTCATTCCCGAATAGATATCAAAATTATACTAGTTGAGCTGATTTAGTATTATTATGGCTTAATACAAAACTCACATTTAAATGTAGTAACAAAGGTGATGAATTGAGATTCGTGATTGTACGCCAATTTGATTTTTCGATTCAATTGATTGAAAATATATTAGCATATAACATACTTGCTAGAAAATATGCAATTATTATGAATTAATAAAGAATGAATCTGATGTAGGAAAAAAAAGTATCAAATTTTGAAAATGCCTAATAAATTCAAATCAAATTCCATATGGATACATTGAAACACAAGAATTGGTTATGTTTAGCTGGTCTATTCAGAATTTTTGATTGCTAAAATTTATTGTTGTATATTATATTTTAATCGATTTTTTATTAAATCATAAAAACGATGAAATGGGAGAAATGATTAATTTTTCTATGAGCTGCATCAAATGTTTTCAATCAAAAATTCGAATTGTAAGGATTCAAATTAAAAACAGGAAAATGAATAATGCGATTAGATTATCTATTAATTCAATAAATCATGAGATTATTATTCGTAGTACCTCATCGTTTTTTTTGCAAAAAGCCAATAAAAATAATAACATCTTGCTTTTAATATAATTGCTAAATTTTAAGCTTTCAAAGAATAAATTTTTTGTGTGGTTGTAGCTCGATAATTGGATAAATCGATCTCAATCATTTCACTTCACATTTGATATTGATCTTTAATATCACCTCCTTCAATAAATTATTAATATTTAATGCCTTGAATTTTGAAAGATTCAAGTGATGTGAAGTCAATTTTTGAATATATATCGTTTATTTTCAAACAACTCAGAGATGTTTTAATTGATATTGCTTGTTATTCCATTAATTTTTCATTTTCAATTCAATATATAATTAAAACCAATATGACTACAGAGAAATCAAAAATAAATGGACCTGACATACTAATAGAGATTCATAAACTCCTTGTTCCGAAGCCACCAACTCCTGAAACATCTAAGCCAATACCAATAAGTTTAAAATCAGATGAAATTGTTGTTCCTCCTTCGGCACCACCTCTACCGACCAATTATCTAATCCCAAAAATGAACATTTATCAAATACCAAACATCAATTATAACAAAAATATTCAATCCCAAAATTTGAATCTACAAACACAGACAAAAGAATTAGATTTATCATCTCAATGCAATAACTCTACAAACTCATCGCATGCGAATAAACGAAAATACACTCTTCCTGAGATACTAACTACAAAAAATTTTCCGTCGAAGATCTTCCTATTCCAAGTCAATTTGAATATAAATCTTCACCAAATTCTAGTTCATGCGAGTACTCTAGACTTACAATGCCAGTTATTAATATTTTTGAGCTACCTCAGTTAAATCCGCCAAACCCAATATATGAAAACGATGAGAAACGAACAAATGGTATCAGATGCGTATGTAATTCCGAGAATCGTGACAAATCACTTGTTCAATGCTCTTTTTGCCATTTTTTGTGCATTCTGATTGTGTAAATTTTAGAAGAGTGGATGAGTCTGATGTATATTATTGTCCATTCTGCAGAGAAATAAGAATTAAATGCTCATGCGGCAATAATAATAACTATTCTGATAGATTAATTCAATGCAGTCGTTGCAAATTTTGGGTACACAAGAAATGCGAAGGTTTAGACTATGGATTTATTCCAAAGGACTTTATATGCAAAAGTTGTAAACCAGAGCGCCAGTTCCTAATTCCTTTTCAATTGTTAGATCCATTTGATTTAAATTTTATTGGAGATATTATATCCCACGTTAGTGACAAAGCACTATTAATACAATCAATACTAAAAGGAAACTTCAAAAACTTTATAGTTAGTGATTTATCATCAAACGAATTGTATTTCTTAACGATGATCTCGATTTACTTTCTTCAGTTCACTTCAAACATTTTCTCTAGAGATAAAGAGTTTTGGGCAATTCTTGTGGACTCTTTTTCCAAAATATTTCAATTGCATGAAACTGTAATTTTTACAACCATTGATAAACTTGCAAACAATCTTTTATATAAAAATGATTATGTACAATTGAATAGAAGTGTTGGGAGTCTCGAAATTACTACAAAGGCTCGAAACATTTTAGATTCAATGACAATTGAAGTAAATGAGAGACTCATGATGCCAAAAGTGATCTTAATCGATGAAGAAAGAAGAGTTACTACATATACTATGCTGAATAATGGAGAATTCGTTTGTGAATTGTCTGGAGTTTTAATGACAAAAGATGAAGTTGACTCTGATGAAGGAATACCAAGATATTGCATTACTGTGACAAATCAAAATCTAGTTATTGATGTCAGAAATTCATTATTCAGCCAAGCCCAATTAATTAAAAGATCTTTTCACTATAATTGCATTGTGAAGATAGAAGTTGTCAAAAAAGATATAAGAGTTTGCATATATGCAATAAATCCTTCCGGTCCTCTTGCAGAATCAGCAATTTCGCCTGCAATATTCGAAAAAAATGAAATTATTCTGCCCCTTGATGGGGATATACCATTCTACATTGATTTAATCAAGTGGAAAGATGAATGATTAATGTTAACTATGAATTTTCGGTTAATATTTGTATGATTTTTTAATCATATATATTAACTGCTATTGTTTTTAGTAGTATTGTAAAATGAATAAACAAAAAAAAAAAAAAAAAAAAAAAAAAAAAAAGGGAGTGGGGCTTCCAGGCACTTCGTGCCTTCTAGCCCTGAGGATGAATGAGTATAATGAAGTTTTTTTTTTCTTGGGGGATGGCTTCCAGGCACTTCGTGCCTTCTAGCCCCCGAAGATGTTTAGTATAAATGAAGTTCTTATATACGGGTCTTCCAGGAGCTTTTCACAAATTATATATGTTTTCATGTTTTGTCAAGACTTCTTCGTAAATGTTTTGTCAAGATTTCATCGTAAATGTTTTGTCAAGACTTCTTCGTAAATGTTTTGTCAAGATTTCATCGTAAATGTTTTGTCAAGATTTCATCGTAAATGTTTTGTCAAGACTTCTTCGTAAATGTTTTGTCAAGATTTCATCGTAAATGTTTTGTCAAGACTTCTTCGTAAATGTTTTGTCAAGATTTCATCGTAAATGTTTTGTCAAGATTTCATCGTAAATGTTTTGTCAAGACTTCTTCGTAAATGTTTTGTCAAGATTTCATCGTAAATGAGTGTAAATCCGACAAAAATAATGTTTATGTTAGAATGTTAGATCTAACACCTTTTCTAACATGTTTTCTAACATCGTAGAAAACTCTTGAATTTTCATGAATTTCATCGTACACGTTGACCGAGTAGTTTTTTGTGCTGAACAAGAAGTGTCATATAAACATCTGTCAAAAACCGTTTTTTACTTCACTTAAAATGCCACGTAAGCTACGTAAGAATATACGTAAGAGGAAGAGAGCATTGAAACATCCAATAGTAAAACTGACACCACAACAACAGTTGCAACAACAAATTATGAATGACCCCACTATGTTGCAACAAATGTCAAGCAATCCTATGCTTTTAAACCGAGTTGTTGGTGCACAGAGTGGAGGTTTAAGAGCGGCACTTTTAGCGAAAATGGCAGGCTATGGTGGAGCTGCAGACGGAACAGCTTATAACCCTCAAAGTCAAATGAATTTGAGTTCACTCAAAAATCAAATAACAGATGTCAAAAAGTCAAACATAGACATACAGAAACAAATAAGTGAAAACGAAAAGAAACTAGAATATGACAGACACACAAAGAAACTCAATGAGTTAAACGTAGAGAAAAAGAAGAAAGAAGAACAACTGAAAGAACTAAGTACAGAGGAATATGCGAAAAAAGTGTCAGAAAAAGCAGCAGAAGTAGCAAAAATGGAACAAGATGTTGTAAATTTGAAAAACCATACTACTCAATATAAAGTACTGAAAGATGAAGAAATAAAACAAAAAGCCCTGAAGACATATATGGATAGCGATGAGTATAAAAAAGAAGTTGAAGCAAATGTAAAGGCAGAAAAACTTTTACAGTTGCAAAACCAAACCGTACAGTATGAAAACTTAGCACAAGAAAGTAAAAATAACGACGCAGCCATGCAAAAGGCAATGAAAAGCGCAGAATATATAAAAGCTAACAATGACTGGTTAGATGCCCAAGCCAACGCTAAAGCAGCCCAACTTATAGGGTCAATAAGGACAAAAATACAAGCGGATGAAGACAGTTCAAATGAAGCTTTAATGAATGCTGACTTTAAGAACGCCTTCGAAGCTCTTCATAGTAAGGTGAAACTAGTGAACGACTTCTCATCTGGAAAGAAACTGAAGTCTGAAGGTTTCGACAACGAGTTAAGAGAAGTAGCACAAAATATGACGAAAATAACAGATGCAGCAACGAGACAGGCAGTTCAAAGTGCCTATGACGCCGTTAGAACAACTGTTGTGGAAAGTCAAGAAAAAGAGTTACAACAGACCAAAACAGACCTAGTAAATGCTTTCTTAAGAACGAAAAGTCAGGTAGGACATTACGCTGCAGATGGAACATATGTGCCAGCTGGTGGAACTTATATACCACCAAACCCTCCAAGAGAAGCACCTGCACCAGGACTACCTAGAACATTTACATCGTCACATGGACACAGACACAGGCATGCACCAAAACCAACAGTTCAAAACACTGCACCACAACCAACAGTTCAAAATCCAGCACCACAACCAACAGTTCAAAACACTGCACCACAACAACCACAAACAGAGCAAGGACATAAAAGAAGTAGAGAACAAGGAAACCAAGAATTCTTAAAAATGCTTAAAGAAGAGTGTGGTTTCCCAGATACTATTGACTTTAGTGACAGATATAAAGAAGCTATTGGAAAGTTCAAGGATGGAAATACTGACCCGAACCTATTTAGCTTTATGGCTCAGCACCAAAACGGATATAATCTCAAACCTGGAAAATACAAGCTCGCTAAGGGATATGATTTAATAGCATATCATCCAAATGACATGGATGAATTTACTCCGAGATATTTGATGTCAGAGCTAAATGACAATTCAACTTTCGTCATGAAACGCGTAAAAAATAGAGACGGAACGAAAGAACAAAAGCTTATGAATGCGGATGACGTAGATAGGGAAATTGTTGAAAACGGTCTCGGAATATATGAAATGCCAGCAGATGAGGTACAAGAAACTCCACAGGAAGAAGTTCAGATACAACCAGACATGGAAGAAATAGTTCAGCAACAACAGCTAGAAGAGCCTGAAGGAAACGAACAAGTCACTCCTTTGGAAACTAACTTCACAGAACTAGATGAAGATTTGGAACAGCCGAAAAATCTTGACCCTCAACAAGAGTATGCGGAGAATATGGAATATTTCCAAGAGTCTAAAAAAATTCGGCTGACATAGTAGAAGAATATCGAAAAATGTTTGCCGACATAAAAAGACTCCAACACCAGATGAAAATATTCTGCATAGAATGGAAGTACTGAAAGAAAATGTACACAAATACAACAACCCTTTTTACTTACGAGCATTTAACGTTCAATCTTCGGATGAACTCGGTGAAAATAAAAGGTTAAATTTCAAGAAAACATATAGAAATGAAACATTGTTTAAAGTTCATTCAGAAACCTAACCAAGATGGAAACAAACCTACTTTTGTTTCTGCAGACGATGGAACTACAATGAGATGGGGTCATAAAGCTAATCCGGATAGGTGGTTCATAAACTTACAACCACAATTCCAAGAAGTTGTAGACGCAATGGAAGTGAATGGTGAACCAGATATAGCTGGTATTTTCAGCGCGGCTTTAATGCCATTGAAAGATATGAAAGATGCAGATATTTTGAACCAGTATGAAATGAACATGGCTGATGGAAATAACACCTGACGTTCTAAAACATTTATCTCAAAGAACTACACAGAACCATAGAGATGGTATATTTGGTGAAGAGTTTAGAAAGAAAGTTAGGAGAGCGAAGGAAGAGAACCTATTGTACATGACCTTGCAAACGAAAGTTTACAAAATGTCATAAAACTTACTTTGCAGACAATGAACCGAGAAGGGATGAATATTTAAGAAAACTCAAATGGACAGTACCAAATGAAATGTTAGTATTGAAAAACATGTTCCTTGACAAAATAAAACCAACTACAGAAATAAACGACGCAAGACTGAAAGATTGGGTAAAAGCTTTCCCATTCACAAAAGATATAGTTGGTAACATGGAAAGAAAACCAGAATGGCTACAAAAACATATATTTGGAAACGAGCTTATTCCATATGGACAGGCACTGTTTGAAGAGCTTGAACCGGAAACTCAGGACAGAGTCATGCAAACAATACGCGACGACTCAAATACAAACTATGACAAACTCTTTCTAGGATATAGGGTACCTGAGATGGGCGACCAGAGCCCAAAGGCAAAAAGGACATGGGAAATTTACAACATACTAGGTGAACATGAGGCAAAGATGCAACAACTTGAAGCAGAGGGCAATGAAGGAAAAAGAAGAGTTAAAAACTCAGTCAGGAAGAAAGTAAAGCTTGGTCGGAGTGGGTTCTATTATGACATATAAACCCAACTATTCTATATTTTTACCCATATGAAATGTACGCCGCTCAGAATATAACGCCAACAGTTTTGGATGCTATGAATGGAAATGTTTCCGAATGGTATAACGAATGCGACAATGCCATTAGAAGGTCAGAAATAGTTCCTGGAACTTACGAATATACAACTGCTGTTTCTTATGGAACGTAGGTGAGTTTGGAGAAGGTTCTTCAACAACAGTAGATATTGCTTGCGACAGGTTTCATATAATTTCTATTGACAACTCTTTCTTATACGTGGAACAAGACATTGAAATAAAACCTTCTGCCAAGTTGTCTGACAAAAAGGTTGCAATGGAATTTTCTATGTCGGATACCAATATGCTCCAGAAGTTTTCATGGGATATAAGATATATTCTAACTCTGACTTAGTTCAAACAGTAACATGGGCAAATATGAATGGTTCGCTTTGAGAAACTCAGTACAACCACAAGCTAGAGAACAAACAGACCAGTATGCAACTATTGAGAAAATAAGAAGACTTGACCCTAACGTTCCAGGAGTTTATGTTAACCTTTCTGGTTCAGATGGAAATGCTGTCACTAAAGTAAAACTGAAACTTAGAGTTCCTTTGTCATCTTTCCTCATCTTTAGGTTTTTAAGATACTTACCAAACTGGGCAGGAAAAATTTCTATTGAACTTACTCCAAGCAAAAATAACTTAGTCATTGCACCAACGCAAGACCCATTCACTCTTACAGACGTAAAGGGAGCAAATCAAACGTCATTCGCCGACTTTTGCAAAGACAAAGTTGACTTAGACTTTGGTTTCTCAAACCTCAACACTGAAGTAAACTATTATTTCAATGCTGCTGGAACTGCTTGGGACCCAGTTAAGTTCACATGCGAAAAATTTGAATGCAAGAGAATAGAAAGCAGACTTGCAGTCTATATGTTGGACCCAGATATTTCAAATGCTTTAGCTGCCAAATATATTGCAGTTCCACTTATGTTCCCTATACACCAAATATCTGTCAAAGACTTTGCAGGTGAAGTTGGAAACCAAAGTGCTGACCCAGGTGCAAGAACAGATATTGCTTTAACAACTGCAATGAAACATGCAGATACTATGTTTGTACTGTTCAGACGAACTATAAATGACTATTCTTGTTTCTACAACCCCGGTATTAAATATCATATAAACATAGATGGCAAATATTATCCAAGAGAAGAATATTCTACAGTTGAGGATATGAGGTCATACAACTTGACATTAGATGCTATGAACTTTAACAACAACTTCACAACAACCATAAACCCTGAAATGCAAAGTTCTATTATGCCATATGTGAAAGTATGGACTCATACAGGAGGTCAAAAAACTCAATATACAAATGGAGACCGTTCAAACTTTTGGCTTGGCATTCCATTTGCTGACTCAGAAGACTTTATGGGTGGTATTTCAACTGTTGGTACAGTTCAAATACAATATACTGGTGACAGAGACGGTCCAGATGAATTGAAAGCAAAAGAAGTTTACAAAACCAATAGCACTTTTCACGGAAGATGCTCTTTTGAAGATTCGTTCGATGAAACCTGCTGGGGCTCCTCAGATTGGCATAACGACAGCTTCCATCGAGCAGATTTTGGCAGCAGGTCAGTAAGTTGTTCTTGAACTGACTTCTCTCCGTCAAATATTGACAGTACGCCAGTTTTGACATAAAATTGTATTATAAACTTACCTTTAGAAATATCGGTCAGTTTTGTTGTTATATTTTTGTCAACGTCAAGAACTTTCACCATCTCGGTTATACCAACTTTCTTTGCTTTATGAAAATATTTTGGTTCAGCAAAGACTGCTATTCTATAACATTTTCCATTGTTTGTGTAAAGAACTATTCTGTCAATGTATTTGTATTGTTTGTGTGTGTAAACTTTGTTTTGCTTCAATTCGAAGAGATACTCAAATACGTCCATCTTTTTATTCTAAGTAAAATGTCATTTCCGAAAAATAGAAGCGTAAGTGTTTCAAAAGGTTTAATGGCGGTGGCAGATGTGAAGTTAAATTCACCAACTCAAACAAACAGTCAAAGTGTTGTTGTCAATGTCAAAGAAAGAGATGTTGAAGTGGGGAAACCATACGAAGACGAAGATGGTATAACAATTGTTCCTGTAAAAGAACAACCAACATACCCTGAAGTTAGCAGAGACTTAAGTTCTGTTGCAGATATTCGAAACGACTACCAACAACTTAAAGACAAACTTAAAACTCAGGAGAAGATTTGTCAAGCTTTGGGTATAATGTTAAACTTGGTTGAGCACAACCCTGTAAAAGTGAACTCATATGTCATCGCACCTCATGAAATTTTGAAAGAACTATTGAAACTTTTGACAGAGGCAGACGATATAAACATCAAAGAAATAGAACCCGACATTAGTTGCTGTGGTGTTTCATATAATGTCATTGACAAGATATACGTTATGAAAGGAGGTGAAACGTTGAACTTAAAATATAGTTTCCCAGACGTTATAAAAATATTTGACGACCACAACATTTCATTAAAATTTAGTTGCTAAGTAAATGGCAGAAGACATAATGGTTTATACTATTACGACTAAAAACCCTGAGTCATATAATTCTATAACAACAAACTTACAAAGTCCTCAAGGACGATATTGTAAA